CGTCTTGCCTGAATGTGATGATCTCTCAAACAAGGGATCACGCGAGGACGTCGGGCGCGAAGGTGACCCCTATGCAGTCGATTCCGAATCGTCTGGCCACTCACTCTCACACCAGTGTCTGTTTGAAGACGAGCGCTGATCTGATTTGCTGTGATGACACGATTTCTCAAGGCCAAGGTACGGATAAATCGATCCTGGGCTTGAGTTGTCGCCCTTGGTCGACCTGAGCGTGGTCTGTCCTGTACAGATTGTGTATCACGGTATCTGGACCATAGCCTGCTTATGACAGACTGAGAAACATTCATCGCCCGCGCCACAACCGCCTGTGTTGTGCCGATCTGTAGCATGCCAAGGGCACGTAACCTTTCATTTTGGGTAAGCCGACGCATATCAAAATTTGTTTTCTGGTCACTAAAACAATTAAACTGATGTTTCCACCCTGGAATTCAATGCCACAATGACTGTAACATTCAAAGTCAGAGTCGTGCAAATCTTGGGTTGGACCCCCATGATGATCCCAAGCATCACATGCATTCCATGCGGTAGCTATTGGTGCGTTTGGGCGTCACATGTAACTGGAAATGTTTCTTCTGTTAGGTTCTATAGTGACTTTTTTCGTAGTCATTTGCATATTTTAGTATTATGCCCCCAAAATCAAATATCCCCTACTTTTTTTGAATAGTATATTATGTAAAGAAAGTTCAATATCCTTCTAAAATTAACGGATATAAGAATAATAAACTTTCGACACTATTATATAGTATATACAATCAGAAATATGTGACAATTAGTTAATTCGTATATGTACGAAACAAGATTATGGGGTATAGATAGTTGAATATATATATAGTTCGTTAATAACGTTATATTCAAAGACATCTATTTATTTACAGGTGATACTTTGATATTTTAGTTTGTTTTAGAGTTGGTGTGCGTGGGGGGGGGGGGGGTATTTTGATCATTCTTCTGGTTTTATTATCCTGTTACTTCTTTCATTATTCTGTTTCTCTTTGTTTTAGACCGAACTGTATTGCATCTTGATTAGTTGGACTTGTTGCAAATTTTGTCACAAATTTGCAGACTTTTTCACAACGTAATTAGTTACAGATGTTTTATTACTTTCTTTTGTTTTGTTTTTTTAATTTATTACTTAATTGCCTCTTCTGTGTATTGCCGAAGAAGAGTTTGACTCAGAGTCTAGACACTGAGTCTAGCTCTTCACAAGCAATACACAAAAAAACATACTTAAAAGCAGCCCCCTTTTGGACACATTTCATATATGTGGAAGTGGACGTTAAACACATAGCATAGTAGTAGTAGGCCAGTTAATACGTGCCCCTAACGTTTTTAGAACGTAGTGTTTTATAATATTTCATGGAATTAACACAATGTGCCGTTAAATATGGATGATATTGATGACCATACTGTAAGTATTACAACATCATTTACTTTTCAGACGGAGGTATTTTCTTTCCGTTGCTAATGTAATGGTTCGGGCTTATAATTACATTATTTTATCATTTTTTCTATACTATTTAGGCATATAAATCCATTAATTTTTGCATAATATTGGAAAATGGCGTGTCCCTTACTCTCTTAAAAACGAGAACGGGGGTATGCTATAGACGCTTTTTTTTTTAAGGTACATTGAAAGTAGAGCTTAACTGAAATTAAATCTGGAACCTTTCGTAGTGATACAAGTATATGTGATAAATATCATAAATAAATGTGATAAATATTAAAGAGCTAAAAGAAGGAAAACTGATTGACCCGGATCCATTACCAAATTCATATTGACCATTATGCAAAATATTTTAATTTAGTTCTGTATTGCTATCTAGATGGAATGAGTCACAGTGTCTATCAATAAAATATGCTTCAAAACTACAGAGACAAGTTTACTAAAAACTTGGAATTAAATGATATCATACCTCCTGTCCAAAGCGCACTGACAATTTATTATTAAGATTATCATCAATAAGTACATGTAAAAGTGTATTAGGTTTCTCAACATTTTACCAGGCATTTGGTACCATTTGTAGGTAAGGGTTGCTATTAAAATTAATGCAAAATGATATCAATGGAAATATAATTAACATAACTAAATCGAGATCTTATAAATTCCCACCAATTCTGAAGAAGTCAAAATAATTATGGTCATACAAATTGCTCATAACGGCCAAAAAAATAAGAGATAAAAAAGCCAAACCCCAAATGATATTTATGAACATGTATATAACATAATAGATAATAGCATAACATAGATAGATTACCTGAACATTATCTTAATACGTTAATTTACAGACATTTAATGTAATAAAAACTATAATATTTCACATACATAATATTATATTGAATAAAACATTAAAATTAAAACATTTTTTTCAATAATATTTCGCATACATAATATATCTAAAACATAATTCATAGTTTATAGATATAGCAAGGGCTTTTTCACGATAAACCATTGACCGGATTTAGCAAGCAAAGGCAATTGTATTGTGGTTGAAGAAAAATCATATCGCCACGTAAAAAAAACATTGCATCTTCATTTAACTATATAAAATTTGTAAATATATCTTAACCTAAAATAAATTTTGTAATATTGCAATTGAACTACAATAAGTTAAATAATATATTTAGATTATCAATTTGCATCACAAAATACACTGGTCATATTATAGAAAGTAGAACACCGAATACAAAATGTAAAAGATGTTTCTGAACATAAGAAGATACGCGTCTGTTTGTGTCACGATTGAATTTGTTATTATACAATAGAAAGTGATAAGGTCGTGGTGGACACATCGGAATAGTCAACCAAGTCTGTCTGTAACCGATTATTACACTGATCGATTTTGATTTGTTTTATAGCATTTTCAAAGACTTTTTTCAATATGATTTTTGACAAACACATACGAATTACTATGTAGAATGATGTAGTAAATTATATTTCGTATGTATGTAATACAAATCGGACCCCGATATAAATCCTGTAATGGAGTTTCATTTCTTTTCATTTCTTGAAACTAGTTGGGAAGCCCCCCGGTCCCTACCCCATGCCCCCGGCTCCTTCAGCTATGGCTACGAGCATGATTTGCTACTATATTATCTTAGCCCGCTGCCACCGCTGCTTAATATTGAGCGACTTGTTTATTCGACTGAACTATTCGACTGGTTTATTCGACTGAACTATTCGACTGGTTTATTCGACTGGATTATTCGACTGAACTAACTGACTGGTTTTATCGACTGGACGAGGCCACATGAAAATGTCAAATACCTCATCCCCCCACCCCCGCCCCACCCCACCCCCTTTCTTCGTTCATATCATATATAGGGACTCTATTCTTTTCGAGGCGGACAAGGACAGCTGTCTGGTCGTTCGGATGAGACGAAAAACCGAGGTCCCGTGTCTACATTGGAGTGGACGTAAAAGATCCCTTTGACAGATGGAATTCGATATAAGAGTAGGCCGTAGTGCCGCTGTCCGGGCAAAATTTCCCTCATCGCACAGTGTATGGCGTCTGCCCGTCTTCATTAGCCCAGTTCCAAGCAGAACAGTAGGACGTTAAAACACCATTTCATTTCTTTTCATTTCTTGAAACTAGTTGGGAAGCCCCCCGGTCCCTACCCCATGCCCCCGGCTCCTTCAGCTATGGCTACGAGCATGATTTGCTACTATATTATCTTAGCCCGCTGCCACCGCTGCTTAATATTGAGCGACTTGTTTATTCGACTGAATTATTCGACTGGATTATTCGACTGAATTATTCGACTGAACTATTCGACTGGTTTATTCGACTGAACTTTTCGACTGAATTATTCGACTGGTTTATTCGACTGGATTATTCGACTGAACTAACTGACTGATTTTATCGACTGGACGAGGCCACATGAAAATGTCAAATACCTCATCCCCCCCCCCACCCCCGCCCCACCCCATCCCCTTTCTTCGTTTATATCATATATAGGGACTCTATTCTTTTCGAGGCGGACAAGGACAGCTGTCTAGTCGTTCGGATGGGACGAAAAACCGAGGTCCCGTGTCCACATTGACGTGGTCGTAAAAGATCCCTTTGACAGATGGAATTCGATATAAGAGTAGGCCGTAGTGCCGCTGTCCGGGCAAAATTTCCCTCATCGCACAGTGTATGGCGTATGCCCGTCTTCATTAGCCCAGTTCCAAGCAGAACAGTAGGACGTTAAAACACCATTTCATTTCTTTTCATTTCTTGAAACTAGTTGGGAAGCCCCCCGGTCTCTACCCCATGCCCCGGCTCCTTCAGCTATGTCTAAGAGCATGATTTGCTACCATATCATCTTAGCCCACTGCCACCGCTGCTTAATATTGAGCGACTTGTTTATTCGACTGAATTATTCGACTGAACTATTCGACTGGTTTATTCGACTGAACTTTTCGACTGAATTATTCGACTGGTTTATTCGACTGGATTATTCGACTGAACTAACTGACTGATTTTATCGACTGGACGAGGCCACATGATAATGTCAAATACCTCATCCCCATCGCCCCCCTAACCCAACATATCATATATAGGGACTCTATTCTTTTGGAGGTGGACAAGGACAGATGTCTAGTCGTTCGGATGGGACGAAAAACCGAGGTCCCGTGTACACATTGGCGTGCACTTAAAAGATGGGGGCATATGGGGATGAGGGAAAAAGTCAAGCATGACTTTATTAAGCCGCGGTGGCAATAACTAAGATAACACCTTAAAGTTTTAATTTGAACAATCAAATTTGAACATGAGGGGACGTAAAAAATAAACAAAAACAATGATAAAAGATATTGGAATTAGTGCGTTTTTTCTTTAACTTATACAGATTACAAACGATTCCAAAATTTTAATAAGCCATCGACCGGTTTATTCGACTGACTATTTGTTTTGGACTTAGGGTCGACTCAGTACAGCTGTATTTTTGTGACTTGTAGAAAGAGACTAGGACAATAAGTCGACATCTCGACGTTACGATAAAAATAACACGATGATACGACAGAATAAAGTGTCGTATGATTGCGTCTATACTGTCGTGATGTCGTGTTGTCGCGTTATGAAAAGGGCGAGATTTTACATGGCCACTATCAGCCACCATACTAATCAGTATAAGTTAAAGAATAAATAGTTTGTTGACTGGAAATTCTAGTGGTACTTAGGGGTAATTGCGCAGTCTTGATAAAGACTTGAAATACTTGACTACATTATATCTGTTCATTTCCGCTATGTCCATTGCGCAGGTGCACGTTTCAAGTCGCCATTTTGGAGCCGAAATTTAAACGGATCTTGTTGACAATTTAAAAATATGTGTACACAACAATATATTAAGTGATTACCGAGATGCGATTAAGAAAATAGTATAATTAAGGCTTATTTCTCACAATGGTTTGGTGGATTTTGACATCTTTGTACTCGTTTCTTGTACATTCTATCTTAGATTTTGTATTTTTCATTTTTGTCGACATCGTCGCCAAAACAGTGTTGAAAGAAGCAGTGTAAGAATTATTATTTTATTTATAAGCCCAACTTAGCCTAATCCATTTTTTTTAATAATTTATATTTCACACCCTTGCAGATTGTATGATAATAAATAAATAAATAGAAGAAATAAAAAGAGTATGTAACAATGATTACAATGGCAGTATTTTCATATCATATGTAATCTAATTATCATTATCTATGTTGATAATAATGAATAATGATCATAATGTTGCTCCTGCTTGAATTATTGTCAAGTCAGTAGCTGTAGCAGTGTAGGGCAATCTGATTAAAACACAGATCCAACAAATGTATTTCATAGTTAAAAAAATTGTGTTTTACTTATCTTTACTACACTAGTGTAGTAGTAGTTCAGCTCTGAACGTAGGTCTCATTTTACACTCGACCTCTACGTTCAGGGACTGTCCTATTGAATCCTTGTCGAAAATCTAATCGCTACCCAGTCAATTTTACTGGGCAACTTTTTACTGCTAACCGGTCGCATGTCAGTCCCTGTGAACGCCTGAACAATATAAATGAACATCTTAGGGAGAAAATAAGACCTTGCTTACCTGGCTAGAGTCAGTATGAGCGACACAACACGCTGTTCTAACCGACTTGGTGGACATCATTGAAAGGGTAACGCACAAATTTAAGAACTCGGCCATATAAGATGAAACGAAATTTAGGTGAGCCTGGGAGAAAAAAAAATGAAAACTTTGAAAAGTTGAGAATCTTCAGTGATTTATTGCTTTGCCTAGCTAAATTACAATAATTTACAATCAAATTCTTTCAAAAATTCCAATTTTTTCGCACCAGGCTTACCTAAATTTCGTTTCATCTTATATGGCCGAGTTCTTAAATTTGTGCGTTACCCTTTCAATGATGTCCACCAAGTCGGTTAGAAGACGGAGACATATTTTTTAACAGCGTGTTGTGTCGCTCATACTGACTCTAGCCAGGTAAGCAAGGTCTTATTTTCTCCCTAAGATGTTCATTTATATTGTTCAGGCGTTCACAGGGACTGACATGCGACCAGTTAGCAGTAAAAAGTTGCCCAGTAAAATTGACTGGGAAGCGATTAGATTTTCGACAAGGATTCAATAGGACAGTCCCTGAACGTAGAGGTCGAGTGTAAAATGAGACCTACGTTCAGAGCTGAACTAGTGTAGTAGTAGTATCTGGAACAGTTGTTGTATAACCCATGTTATGACTATGTTTAATGTGAGGGATTAGCCAATGAAACAATCTGTTGCAGCAAGTTCTTGGTGTGCGGTGTGCACAGAACTGTGGGTATCCCCAGAACTGTGGGTATCCCACTAGAAACATCAACATTTTTTTGTTAATCAAAAGTCTGACATCATACGGTCAAAAACCGTTCATATAACACCTGACACAACCTCTCACTACAACTGGTCAGGTCAGATCTTCATGAAGTGAAGGCCATCGAAAGTATAAAAAATGAAACAAAATATACATCATGCAGATCTGTATTTTAATCTGATTACTGAGTAGGGATGAACAGGAATGGTTACAAGACAGAGACCGTTCTTAAAGGAACTACATATAAATTAATGATTATATTAGAATTAGATGCTCACATTAAATGCTGATTTTACTATTTGAATATTCTATTATCTAAGTCATTGTTTACGTCAAATGCAATTTTTTTTGCACTGGTTTTGGTGCATTTTGCAGATAACACAAAATTAAATATATTTGCTAATTTTTCTTTTTACATTACAGGAGTGATGAAGAGAAGCGGAGGATTTGGTTATTTGAATCGGCAGCTTTAGTTTGTTTGTCTGTAGTGATCTACTTAATTGACCATACACCTGTGGTTCTGATACCTTTAACACTATTCACCTTTCTTTATACACAATTGTATCGGCGTGTTGACTTCCGCTATTGGTGGAACTTAGTCATAACACGATGGGAAGAAGCACAGCAACACAAGGAGAGTATGATCCAAAGGAAGAAGCATCAGTTGCAACAGAAATCCCCACCTGGGGCACCAGTCTTAAGAACCATACCACATCCAGCATACTACCCTCATGTACATACTCCCACAGCAGGGGGATTCCCACCCAATGTCACAGTGTCCCCAGGATTGGACAGAAACACATTTATAGTAAGTCATAACCAGGGACTCTATCCTAATTTAGATCAATTTAAGACAAAGCAAAATGAATTGCCAAATTACCGTAGTAAATTTACTGATTCAGGAGGGGTGGGGAATAGTTATCTACAGGATACCTCCAATCCTTTCAAGCGTAATAATTATGACCAGAAACCTGGAGAAGTTCATGTGAAAAACAATGCTTTTGAAACAGAATTGAGGCGACGTCCACTTAGAGCTGAGAACAATAGAATATTATCTAAAATTCCTGACCTTTATTCTTCTGGTAGTTTTCTTAAATCAAAAGTTTTAAATGTGTTTGGACTTGGATCTGGTCCTGCTGACAGTAAACCACCTGGTATAAGGAACAATGGCCAGAATCTGTGTTTTATTAACTCTGTTGTTCAGTGTTTAGCTCGTAGCCCGCATTTAGTACAGTGTTTATCTGTTGACTCTGCTAAAGAATTAGAGTGTAGTGTTTCAGAATCGATTTTATTAACATCATTTGTTGAACTATTACACCAGTGTAGTGTTGACCCTGCAACAAACACTATCTCCAGCTTAGATCCAGCAGCATTTAGACAATCAGCTTCAGCTCTCAATCCACAAATTGTATCGTCACCTGGACAACCACAGACTCAACAAGATGCTGCAGAATTCCTGATGTGGATACTGGACACTGTGCATAATATTTTAAATAAGAATAGAAAGGCCCTACAATCTGGTATAGTTTTATTAAAGTCCCCCTCTATTAGTATTAATCCTTTTTAAATTCCCTCAATATTAAACTTAACTTTGCATGTTCGCCATTGTCACGCTTCACTAGAGTGTATTTTGTATTATTGATGGTAATGGTATAATTCACTTTTCACTGATATACTTTTCACCTTTGGTTCATTTTTGTTTTCAATTTATATGTATGTAGCATATGAATATATGCAACATTGTGGAAATAACTAACCTACATGACCAATGCATACATGTACATACACAAAAAAAATAGAGACTTGCCATGTACATGTACTCCAGCATTTAGAATATGTGTAAGACAACATGTATCTTTACGTGTATCTAGTGTTCTTAATTGTCACTAGACGTCAGAATTGGTGTTTTAAATTTAATATATAATATAATGATGCATTTTTTGTCACAAAGTTTTCTGTGTGCATTTAAATACTAATTTTTTGCACTAAATCAAATTTAGTATGTTGAATATTTGTGGATGTACTTGATTTGCCTAGATTTTCATGTTCTAACACTACATTGTAACTGTGCAAACATCTGAAATTCCCACAAGATTATTTACACTGTACATGTATCTGTAGTTTCATCCATATTTCACCTCTCAACTTCGGTTATTTTCAATCATACATTATAATAAGTCAGCAGCTAGCTTCCTGTACATCTGTATACAAATTTAGCAATCCCTATCATATGTAATTACACAAATTAGAATACTGTACATGTATAGCAATTGATCAAAATTATTTGTTCAGCTCACACAACTGATCGAGAAAAAATTAATTTGTAATAACATAAAGTATGTGTATTTAATAGTACATATTTTCAACAGTTATTGGGGTACAAAACCATCTTTATTCTTGTGTGTCAAATCTTGAAAAATGAATAATTTTGTTTAATTCTGGTTTTCAGATAAACACCAACAACAGTGTGGTAATGAACGATTCAGCACCTCATCTCTGGCAATGCTGAAGAAAATATATGGAGATTTAAATAAAAAGAGAATTAAAGATTTAAAATTAGCATGTCAATGTGAGGTAAACATAATATTGTAATTAACAGACCTATTCTTCTTGTGATATTGCAGTTTAAAAATTATTTGATACTAAAATGACAAAAGATGAAAAGGTCGACAAGTATTATTTTATGGTTGAAATGTCTGCAGTGCAAGAGTTATTTCCCTTCTTAAAATGAATTTCTTGAGTTTGCTGTCAACGTAATACAATTAGCACACATGCATGTAGCTTTGTTATTACATACATGTACATGTACAAATTTACTATTGTTGGTGTGACTCTAAAAAAGCTACCAGTACCGGTATCTAAAATTTTTGACATTTTCAGGAGAGACAGAAAACTTTATGCTACAAAAATGTATGTTAGAAACCATCATTGTTTTGGAACTCAATATTTAAATGTGTTATTGAAATCTTATTTGGGAATGATGATTCGGTACCTCGTTGTTAAGCTAGAAAGATGCATTTTCCCAATGGTATCACAACAGAGCTGTGGGTTTTAATCTATTTTGCCCTGATATACTATTTTGGTAATGATATACATGTACCATCATGTAATACCATATTTTGAGTAATAGTGCTATCAAAACATGACAGCAATATGAACAAAAAGTGGTCATAATTCTAAAATAAAAAAAAAGTTCTCAAAAATACATCATACCTTTATTAAATTAAGCTTACAATATATTTATGTGTAGGCACTAACTTCAGATTTATTTTGTTCTTCAGATTGAGCTAGCAAATGGTTTAGAAAATGATTCTTATGCAGAACCAATACAGAGATTGTCTGACTTAGAATGGCTGACACATAAACATGAGAATGATTCATCTGTTGATGACTTGTTTAAAGGACAAATTGTTGAAGCTTATCACTGTTTACTGGATAATCACATATCGGTTAAAATGCAGGCATTCAATATTTTACCGGTACCTATCATAGCACCCAGTGTTACATCTGGTCTTGTTTTATTGGATGATTGTTTTACTAGTTTCTGTCATGTCGAACATTTGTTTGGACAGGATGACTTACAATGCTCTGTTTGCGTTAGCGATTCCGGAAAGAAAACACCCGGAATGATAACACGGACACAAACACTAAAAAATGCAGCAAGTACTCCACAAAATTTAGTCAAAGGTCGCCCTGACTCCGCCTTCCATTCTCCCTCCACATCACAAATGATGTCACCAATAATTGGTATAAGAGACATTGTCAATGATAGTGGTTATTATGATAATGTTTTTAAAACTTCCACACCCATTTCTGAATTGAGTAATGACAAAAAGAAAAATTCTAAAGATGTCCAAAGAAGATGTTTGTTACGTCAGTTGCCAGAATGTCTTACTATTCAACTACTGAGGTTTACGTACAATGCTCGAAGCGGACGTTCTAAGAAGATCCGAACGCCTGTCAGCATTCCACGGAAAGGTTTAGATCTAAGGTCTATAATTTATGATATGGTAACAGATCGAGAAGACATGACCGCACCATCTGGCAGCCATCTTTACGATCTCTATGGTATCTGTTTGCATCTGGGTGGCGAGAGTACAAATAACGGACATTATATTAGTTATTGTTTGAATGATAATAAAAACTGGTATCGCTTCGATGATGAAAAAGTATCGCAGGTTAATATGGCTGAAGATATTAATTCACGAGAAGTGAGAGAAAATAGTTACTTGTTATTTTATAAGCAGGTGGAACGAAACTAACAGAGAATAGAAAAGGTCAAAATTTAATCTCTTTGTTTGTAGCTAGTGACAATATTAAAAATCTGATCTCAAATACTTCAAAAGTTGCTTATGAGATGAAACAAAACATAAAGGATATTGCGTTGTGCTATATTTTATATTCATGGTCATTTCTTCATTCTTTCCTCTAATGAAAAATTGCTCTTATTGAAAATAGGCTAAAATTAGGTGGATTGATACATTTATATAATTTTGCATGTTTTAATGGCAGGTTAACATAAACATTGTTGACAGATTGTTTCATGGTGTGGCATGGCCTGTTATACTGATAAAACCACAGGGGCAGGTGGAGTTGATTTTTAACTAAATTTAATTGTTACAAGATGTTGAAATTGTTCAATTAGAAAAGAATTGTTGTCCTTGCCTAATTGAATTACAGTACATTTTGAAAAAGATTTCTTGCTAGATCAATAAGCCAAAAGTCTAGTATATTCTAATTATTTTGCAAACTTGACTATATTTCTTAAATTTGAAACATGACATTTGTTATAAATCAAGTAGCCTACTCCTGTCTTGTGTTTATTAAACAGCTTTCTAAATGTATCAGTCGACCTTGCAAGAGTTATTTCCCCCTGACCTTTCTGCCTTATTTCAATCGCTCATTTTGTTACTGATAGAGATAAGTGATCAGTGTCTTCAGTTAGGAGTGTTTCATTTTAGAGATTCGTTTACAATTCTACACAATATGAACTGTTTAATGTGGAATTTGGTGCAATCAAACACAGAATTATTGCTTACAGAATAAAAAAAAGGATGATTTCTAACAGTACTTCAATGTACATGATTTCTAACAGTACTTCAATGTATATGATTTCTAACAATACTTCAATGTACATGATTTTTAACAATACTTCAATGTACATGATTTCTAACAATACTTCAATGTACATGATTTCTAACAATACTTTAATGTACATGATTTCTAACCATTCTTCAATGTACATGATTTTTAATTGTAATTCATGGTACATGATTTAAATTGTATTTTAATGTGCATGATTCTCATCTCTCATCATATTTAAGTCATGTGTTATCATACATGTGTACATCTTAACCCTTTCACTGCCAATTACAGATTTATCTGTCCCATCGCATATTTCCATGCTGATGCTAGATTTAATAGATGAGACGAGGTAAATTGTATAAGTTACAAAATTGAGTATAATGTTATACGTGTATGTTTATATTTATTGTCATGCTCGGTACCAGTATCATATTTTTGTATTTTATTTGAAACCACAATTTGATATTTTTGATTTTATACTCTGATAACTTTACTAATAATTGATGAATAGGCATTAGTTATTTATAACTTTTCCTCTATAGATCTGAATCTTTGGTGCTTTATTTTCTTGGACAGATAGGAATGTGTGTGCATAACAAAACAAAGCTGGTTTATACGCATATATTACACTACTGTTTCATTTCATGTGTCTTTAAATCTTGGCACTGTTAAATAATTCCAGTCTTTAAGTGGCTTACTCTCGATGTGGTTTGTCATATCTTGATCAAGGAAAACCGGTCGGTCTATAGTGTGTGCAGGCCTTTAGAATTAAATTTAGAAGAAACATTTTGTTCGTTTGTATGTTCTAGTAATTGATCCTCTTTGATAATTTAATCTAAATTAGGATTAGATATTATATATTAATGTAATTTAATCACTTTCATCAAAAGATTTTAAACTAAAAAGCTTTGGTCCTGTTAAACAACATGCAGTGTATTTGTATGAGCTTTCACTGAACTCCTTCAATACCACTATACATGTAAATCGTAATGATTCATAAATTTTAACTTCAAATGTTTTATCTCTGCATTTTATAAGCAGATTTCACATGGTTTGGGCTATCATAATATATTTGAACATATTGAAATTACCTGTGTGGTAACATCAAATTAAAATATAATTTTATGTAAGATCAAAAGCAATTGTCAAAGTGATAGTGCATGTAGTATTGATGACCCCAAACTGTATTTAGTTTTGTAAATATTCTGTTATATTATTTAAAGGGGCATTATGTAAGATTTAGATAAAAAGAGCTGGCCATTCTCGCTATAATATTTCAAAAATAGATAAAGCAAAATGAATATATTGAAAATTTCATTAAAATTATGTTATTTTGGTTTTCGTTTTGACAAGATGTGTGCATTGATCGTAACCACCGTACTGGTTGTTCGAGCCTTAGTCTCGCTTCTCCATTTTTAAATTAAATCTTCAAAAGGCTGAACCGTTCTGATCTACTTAAAATCAGAGCAATCAAATGGCATCGAGAGTTGATTATGGTCTTGTTATGTTAAAAAATGTCTAATTACATAACATTTCAGACCTAAACTAAAGACCTGCAATAGCCAGATTTAGCTCTTACATAATGCCTGTTTAACAGGTTATTAGTTTTCTTAAAAAATTTTAAGAAACGCCATTTTTTCGGGATGTGTCTCACTATTCAGATGAAATAAGGTTGTGATACTTGTACTAAATTTAAGTTGCTTGGATCAACTGATGATTTTTCAGATTCTTCCTTCATTAAGGACTACTCATTTTTAATTTACTAAGCAGATGGATATTAAAAGACCTTTAAAATGTGGGATTCTATTTGGTGGGGCAGATTTTAAAAAATATTTAGCATGCTTTTTATTTTTTATTTATTTATTTTTTTTGAGTCTGTATATTTTATGGAAGCATAATGTAGATTTTGTTTGTATAGGAGTCAAAATACACCCAACACCTCAGTATTTTAAATATGCCAAGCCTTACAAATTGTCCTTTGCGGTGCTATTCATTCAAAGGAAAATTCAGCTTGTTAGTATCAGAATTACATACATGTAAGTACATATAAAAACTTGGTAGTCTATCTTATTTAGCACGTCATATTTAAAAAGCAATAAAAAGAAAATATCAAGGGCAATTTGATTGATCAGTAACCTTATTTGATCTAGAGATTCTGGAGGAATTTTGTAGGAATATTACTGACATAATTTTGAATAACATATGAAGAATAACAAAGTACACCTATTTTTTTTATTACATACGAATTTAAATATTTTGTTGACAAGTGATTATTAAATTGTGATCTGAAACCACCTGCTTAAATAACAGGAAGAGTTATGCCCCTATATTTTCTGTAAAAATGTCCAACAAGAAAAATTTTGAAATCCCAACACTGTTCTGGACACTGGTTTTAAGGAAAAGATGTCCAATGGGACGTAAAAATAATAAAATCAAATGTAAATGACATCTGATCTTAATTTGATTAATAGTGAGACACATTTTTGTTTATTATGAATTCTTAAAGGCAGCATTTAGAAATCCTCATCAAAAATAATCAATATGGTTGATATTGAAAGTTGATAATGATTTTGTTCTGTAGATAATGTAGCTCATTTTGTTAATTTTTTTTCCCCCAAAGAAAATAGTTTGAAAGTTTTAAATTAATGTTAGTTGTTTGTATTTTAATGTAATTATGATATTGCAGGATTTATTGTTATAAAATGCAATTAATGTTATAAGTTTTTTTGTTTATACATGTATGTAGATAGTTTGACTTTCTAAATTCAGGACATTTTACTTATAAACTTGATGTAAATGCTTCAAAAAATTATACTATAATAGTGCATCTTCAAAATGAAACAGAAACAAACTTTACTGAAGAGAAAATATACTTTTGACACTCACAAGCTGCAGAAATTGAACCTAACTTTTTATAGAAAAGAATACATTTGTATAGAAAAAAAATGTTTAAGGGAAAAGTTGGTTGTTTTAAGACCTGATCTTAATGCATTATTTTCTTTATAAAATATAATGGAAAACTTTTGTACATCAATCTATTAATTCTTGAGCATACGTGTGGTTACTTACCTTATGTTTAAAAAAAAGTTAGGATGCATATTTTTAGTTTATATTTAAGAGAAAGTCTGTAAAGATAAATTTTACTGATTTTTATCTGAAAGTAATTACAAATAAAATGATGATGATGACAGCATTAATGTAAATCAAAAACATTACAATATTCCATGACGATTATAGGATATTGTTGTTGTGCATTGAAATCCACCATTGCCTTTGTTTATGTTGTTGATTAAATGCCCTTTCAAGCTTGATAGATATATTAACCGTAAAGATACATTATGGGAGATTAGATAAAGAGCTAGTAAATAATGTAAAGGGAATTTGCTGAAAATTTCAGTCAAATTGATCCACCCTGAACAGAGTATTTAGCGATTGAATTTTGGGCCTAGCCTCAATCATCATTACTGAAGTCGGTACAATAAAAAACATAGTTTAGATCATCCATTTTTTGATTTAATCAGAAGCAGCATACCGGGTTCTAATCCAGTAAATATCACAGGCTAGTGATGCCATCGAGAGTTGATTATGGTCTGGATAAGTTAGTTAATGTCTAATTAATAATTTAGATAACATTTCAGGCCTTAAGAAAGACCTGCTATTGGCAGATTTAGCTCTTGCATAATGTATGTTTAAATTATAATTAGGTTATTTGTCAGACCCTGAGAACTTTTTGTGCCCTCGATATAATGGTAGTGTTTTATACCAGTACAAATGATAGCTTCATGTTCAGCTAAGTCTGTCCACTGGCATGCATGAAGTTGGATTTAACCTGACTTATTTCTGTTTATTTATCCCATGACTTGCTATCTATTTAGATAATGGTCCATAAGAGTTGTGGTTTATCAAGAATAATTAAACAAGTTATTTATTAAAAAGCATCAGTCACACACAGCTTTAGACATCGTAGCATGTGCATTTCTTCCACATTGCAAAAAGTCCTCTAGTGGCAGAGATGGAATAAGTTTGCATGGGGTCCCTAGCTGAAAATGTCACTTGGGTCCTTGTATCATCAGTGAGAAGGGGGCTTATTCTGGTCATTGTCTGTAACTCTTAACACAATTGGTATATCAATATGGTAGATAGATTTTTTAGAGGCCAGATTATATTTTAGAACTAATTTGGGGGCCCCTGGTTGAAGCCCAATCAGACCCCCCTCCCTTTAATCCAGCCCAGCCTAGTGACACCTATTTTAATATTTATGAATTGGCAAATTAGTTTCAGTTAAGGTATATCTAAAGATATGAAGTTATCAATATAACCTGGTAGTTATAGTATTGAACTGCCATGGAAATATATCTTTGAAATAAATACTTTGTTTTTATGTATCCATAGATATGACCTTAATGCTGTGAAATAATTTGGTAGATTCAGAGCTTCTATATATAAGGCTCTGGGTAGATTGGTGCTAAAAGGAGAACAATTTCACACTTTTTATATTCAACAAAATGGCGTACCGTAATTTGCATTTTCGGTTAAATAGCAGTTGTGGCGAGAATGCGGTGTCCATTTGGTCAATTTAATTTCTGATTCTACCTAACCTTAGTTATTGGGTTCCAGTTTCTCTTGTGGACCTCTCCATGATATTAATATATGTATAAGTTAATATTACAAGTAAACATATTATGTAGCCTACCAGTATATTGTTTTGTTCATCAAAATCTGTGCATTATGTTTATGAAGTCAGCTTGTATTATGTTAAGCTATAAATATATTGTACTATGATAAATCCCAGAATATTGTAGTTGTGTTTTATTTGAAAAGATTACCATATATGGTATTTGTGTACTTTTGGGTGGATGGGACGAAAATCTAACCATAATACAAACTTTGTTTCCTTCACTTTTCTTATTTTCTGAATTATGAAAATATGCCTGTAGGTTGCCAATGCCAAGCAAGAATGGAGTAATTATCAGATGTAATTTTATAGGCTTCTTGCTAGTGCAAGCATAAACAACACATACATTTTATATTGGATGATAACTTGAATATAGTTGCTTCAAGGACCATAAGAATTTTCAAGTTAACAAGGGCTATAACTGCAAAGAACTGAAACTACATGTACCTATCCGAAAATCATCTTTATATGGAGCCGTTTTAGAAACGGCTTTTAATAAGACGGATGGTTTGTTACACATATTAATAATTGTGGGTCAGGCATGGAAATGTTAATGAGACATCCCCATTAAACTGCAATGCTAACTGGACAGATAGCTGTATTATTAACAAGAAATTGTGATGTCTGGCTGAAATAACCTTTGGTGAGTACTGACCTTTAAGGAATGCCATCCATGCAAAATAAAATATAGATGCGGTCACATAAATTATTTTTTTTAGGTTTCTTACATAGTTGCTTTTGCTCAATGGCAAGCTAATGTCCCATAATCTTTTATTCAAGTGCAGTGTGGTGCAGCTGGATTCATGTTGGGATGGCAATATCTGTGAAACATACAATTGTGGGGGAAAGTCTGACCATGAAAACCAATACTGTAATTAAAATTTTGTTTTAATATCGGACAATGAAAACCAATAGTTCAGATTTGTTTTAATGTCTCTTTAATTCAAAGCTGAGATATTCAATAACAGTTCTCCATATACTTGTACAATGTCACAAGAGCAAATTTACATACACTGTTACACTAGCATGTGTTGAGTATTGACACTACATAATTACATAAATAAATAATCAATCTTGAGTAGAACACATACCAATTAGTAAAATAGCACATTGATGGCATTTTAATATTGTGATAGATATAACAAGCTGTAGACAAAGAGAATCTGTGAGTGATGTAAGCCCACATGTATAATAAGCTATAAATAAAAAAAAATGCTGTTCCTTTCCCGTAAAGTTTATCAAATGATTCCAGTCTCCACAAACAAAATAATAATTTAATTTACTGACTATTCGAAATATCTATTCCATATCCCCTCTTAGATCAAATAGAATATGAACCATAATGTATTCACTTAACCTTCTCTGCTTATTGTGCCTAATTTGATAAAAACTTTTTGTTCAATCCAAACGACTGGAGGTTCGGTATCTTCTGTACCAACAGTAGCTGTTGTATTTCGATATTCATGTTGCATTGTTAATGACACTATAACATCGCCTTGTTCAACTTCAGGTGTAACTTTGACAAATACCCCAACTTTATTGAGATTTCTAAATGCTATTGAACTTGAATCGTCATTAAAATCTTGCTTAACAGGATTATCATCATAACCAGCCAAATCATTTCTCTTAGCTAATATCATCTCCTTCTTGGGTAATTCAATCTTGGCTGTTGTTAAACCAGACTCATCATCCATAGCTAACAGTTTAACAATTGTGTCAAAGGTTTGTGGATTGTTTAATGTCAATACAGCTCTGGTTTCCTTGTTGGGAAGAAAAACTGCAGGACCACCAATTCTAATTTCAGGAATATGGTTCAAAGCTATCAACTGGATTTTAAATTTAATAGACAATGGATTGAAGTCTGGTTTACTTAAATTATGTTCGCATTCTTTACATCGTAATGATTTACGAATCAATAAATGTTTATGTTGTGGGAACATATCTTGGGCTTTAGCTGGTTGAAACTCTGGAGTTGATAATCTTTGTTCCATACATGTCATCTTGGATAATTCTAACGGTTTGGTAAATATGTCATCTGGTAAAGGTGCAAAATCCACGACTTTTTTTCCTGGTTCTAATTCACTAACAGCTTCTTCGTTATCCTTTACACTTAATGATGAGATTGATGAAAGAGTCTTCTTTCTAGCAGCAGCGACAGATGTCAGACCATATTTGTCAGTATAATACATATGACTCCGCCTTTTCACATACTTTTTTCTTTCCTTTTCAGCTTTTTCTTTCTGCGCCAGCTTACGATAATATTCCAGTAAATTATTGATCCTTTTGGCATGTTCATTTTCTTGATCTTGCCAAGCACCGCTTGCCACGGATTGATCTTCTATGTTGACATCTCTGGTAGTCCATCGACAGAAACTACAGGCCATGTAATACATTTTCTTGGAAATTGTTTTAGTGGCATCTTCTGGATCAGGCAATGTCAGATTACTAGCTCTAGTCATCAGTGTATGGCCACATCCAGGGCAGTCATAGCAGCTCCCACATCTATTTTTTCTCAGTTTGGCTTCAGATGTTGGCATATTCTCTAAGCAGTTAGGGCAATAAGGGGTGTCAACCTCATGTTGAACACAGTCTGAACATCTTAGTTTTAGACAGTGCCTGCATAAATATAATCGGCACACCGGTAAATGTTTGGAACACGAACAAACATATTTCACCAACTTTACATCCAAGTAAGTAGCCATGTTTGAGACAGAATGACGTCATGTTCCAGTTTGTCACGTGACCATACTTTCCTCTCCGGTAGGCTGTATTATATTATACAAATCAACCTAACTTCTTCATAATTTAAAGAGCATAATATAACATCTTGTAAATATAAAATTGTTTGACTGCAGAATTTAGCTTCATGGCTGTCTGTAAATAATACATTTTAGAATTTAGGTATTAGACTAAAGTATCTGCATCTATCATTCGAAATTTGATTCCAATAAGAACCTATCAGTCACTCATCTATGTTGATTCCTATCTGGGTAATGCAAAAGCCTTCTTATAATCTGTGTAAGATGACTAACCTTTAATAAGTTCAAATTACACGGCGTTAATCGTTGGCATCGATAGCACGTGCATTGTTTACATATAAGACCACCATAGAGATATTGTCAATATAATACACCTCCATGCATAAGACATATAACGTAAACCGGTCTGGGTAGAATGTTGCCTTTTTTTTACTCTTTTTAAGACTTAATCTACTAGGCCTAATTTATGTACCGGTACGGTACAATTCAGATGTATAATATGTAGGCCAGGCTACTTCAAAGACCTTTATTTATTTGTCTAGTACTTAAAATAAATGTTATAGAATTTAATTTGCAGAAGGAAAAGGGTTAATATTGTGAGCTATGACAAGGATTGTATTAGCGACGGGAAGCTATTTTTAAATATTATTTTCTTCTTCAGAAGTTTGTTATTTTCTGAGAGCTGTACATTTCAGAATTGTAACAACACCAAGTTTATGAAAATCGGAGAAGAATTGACTAAGTTACTGCCCATTTAGTAACGCGAACTGGCACCACTTGTTCGCGAAATTGGCCATTTTGCTTCAATTTTCAACCCCGCTTCACATCTCAGAAACCAAAATAAAGCTTATTTAGGCACCAACACAATCATGCATACACATTACACATAGCTCGAGAAGTTTATTTTCTAATGTTTGCAATAACCGTACAGAAGATTAAATAACTACGCAAACTTGATGTATCAAAAGGTTTTTTTTAATCATGTATTATATTTATTGATTTATTTTTATGATTTATTTAATTATTTTTTATTTTTATTTGGTCATTATTACTATTGGCGGTCGCTTTAAATCCGACCAACTTATCCAGTATTGTTTCCATTGATGATGTGAGACCATTCTTCTTTGCCGGAGGTGCAGTGTCGAGTGTATAACATAATACGCCACCTCGTTCTCGGTAATCTCGGCCATCCAGACCGATATTTATGCAGACATGTGTATCTGGAAAAATTTGACTATCGCCGTGTCTGATCGGAAGCTGAGGTGTGTGCGCGAGAGAAATTTCGGGTAAATCTCTCCAAGATGGCATCTTTCGTTTAGCTCTGTGTTTTTCGGAAGCGTTTAGCTAGGTAAGAGTTAACAAGATTTACAAATAATATAGTTCTATGTCTGTTTGAATATCAGAATTAAATTTATTTACTTCTACTTGCATTGCCGTAGTAACGCAATGTCAAGCGAAAGAGAGGTGTTTCTAAAACTCAATATGAATGGATGTAATCTTCTTTGGCTGGAATGTTGAGTGTAGCAGGCAAACTCCACCACGTTTCAAGTTGTGGAATGTCTAAAGCACGAGCCTGTAGGTAACTGCAAGAGGTCTTAATTCGCGTGATAGCCAATTCCACTCCAGCAATAGAATTTGGCTATTGCAAAGTGTCGGAAAGTTGTTGTTTGCGTTGCCGTTATCGTATGCATGAAAGTGTACCCAGTGCGTGACTGGAACTGGTGGCGCTTATATATTTAACGCCTGATTTATCCATTTTCAATAAAATAAAAATCAATACGTCCTAGACTACATGTTTGAAATTTTTTATTTTAAAGAAATTCAGTGTGAAATTTTATAATTTAAGAAAAGACTGCTACATTTTAGACCTGACATTGAGATTTACATTAAAGCCAAAGATGTGTAAACTTTTTCTTGTGAGAAATGATATAGAATGATTCTATCATTTCTCACAAGAAAAAGTTTACACATCTTTGGCTTAATGTAAATCTCAGAATTGCAACTTGCTCGTTCTTTGGGATGCTACTGCTATATTATACTATTACTATTTCAACTCGTTAATTTCAATGATTTAGATTTAACTCAATTTTCACTGCTTGAAATTATAATTTTTAGTAACTAAATAACAACAATAATATTCATGCACCTTAAAGGATTTATTAACCACATAAGCCTACTTACATGTAGAAGTTATATTCCAAAACTGTCAGTTTTAACCGAACTGGTACTACAAGAAAATTTCAATAAGAGATATGAAAATCAATGAGATCTAAGTTGTACTGTATTGAAAGATTTGGGTGGATTTTGTAAACCATACATGTACTTACTGGAACTCTCAAGCAGATAAAAATTACATTGGATTTGATGTTATTATAGACAGTACTGTAAATATACATGTACATGATCACTACATGTACCAATGATTTCATCAGAATTATGTATTGTCAGATTTTGTGGAAAATTTGTATTCCATACCCAAGGCAAAGGCGTAAAGAATGTCTATTGGAAATTTGAATGTCAAAGTAAAATTTATGTGTTTATAATATTTTGGTAAAAATACTTAATAAAAAGCCTCACTCTGAGTGAATAGGCCCAAACCATAAATAAATACCTTAAAGACATTCAGTATTTATGAAATGACTAGTCAAGCAGATAATTCTTAAGGCTTAGAATACAATATGGTTATGAAGGCTGTAAAACTACATACATGTACATAGATTTAGATGGTCACCTTGATTCATACAGCATAATAAAAACACAAACGGTAAGCTTACCTCAAGGGCTTTTATTAAAAATGTAGGTTAAAATTTTAGGCCCCCCCACCCCCACAAATGAATGAACCTTAATTTTCATTAAATGATTTGAAAGTAATGTACATGTAGGTTAAAGTGAAGAATTAATTATTTTGACAAGACTGTGAAGAGGGATGTTGAATTTTTTATGACCATGAACATTAATTAATGACCTTAACCTTTATTTTTTCTTGTCTTATGTTTCCTAATCTACTTTAAAAAGATGATAATGGGTTAATCTGGTGTTTAACTCCCACTGTGTAATCTTATTAAATAAATTGTTTCAGACATTTTAAATGTTTTCTTGTATTAAGGTTAATTAGAAAATGTAAGCTTACTACATGTACTTTACATATCAGTTGTAGGCCATGAACTTTTTATTCCAAAATAAACAAAAGTGGTATTGTTCGTTTTACTAGAAAATTAGTAACAATACAGAATTTATATTAGTTTTGAAGCACTGGCCTCAGATAGACTATTTAACTTTATTCAAAACTGCTGGAGGGAATGTAAAATGTGACACCGGTGGAATAAAGCTAGACCTCTGCCTTCTTTATGGTACATTTACCAGTACACACTTGGACATGATTATCATATACATAGAGTAATACATAGCTATAGTGTATAGATTTAATCTCTGACAGATATCATTGAAGTAATACATGATAATATTATATAATGGTAGGGTTATTATGGTAATCATGTCATTTACTATTTAACAGCTATGATTACAGTTAACCTTCATGTTTATAGATACTGTATAAGAATTATGGAGGGCTATTGAGCTAATGAGGGAATAAATTAATAATGATCATAGTTCGTTTGTATATAGAATCAGAGAATATTTATGACTGAATCAGGAGTAAATGCCCCCACATTGTTCATTAATAAGAGTTTGTCCATATATACATGATAATACATGTACATGTACAATCCTAAAATTCCTGATCTTTAATTTAATTGAATTCCCAACTCTGGCATTGATATTGGTTGTGTTTTAACTCCGTATGACAGGTTGCTGTAGGATGGTTGTTTTTTAGTTTCATGTTTGTCTATATTGGCTTTAGTCCAAATGCTTGAGCTTAACATGAATATAAAACCAATTGCTATTTTATATGCATTTTGTGTTACAGTACATAAATATTGTAACTTGTATGGTTATAGTTACACATACATTGTATCAAGTTAAACATTATAAATGAAAGTCCTATTACCCTTGTCATAAAATGTTTTACTTGTCAAAAGTTACCTCCATATACTAATTTTTGGATATGGCGACCTTTCAGGGCAGAGATCTATTCTCGAAGTACATGTAGATAGTTCTCTGTGTGCAGACTGAAGTTACCTCCTGACATTTTTTCTTGATCTGCTATCAAGATTTGATAACATTTAAACCTGAGGAATTAATTTGTTGAGAAAAAGAAAAGACTTTTGACTATTTGTACATTGTTACTTGTACCATCCTCTATGAGACAGTTATGACAATTTATTATTCTGTCTTTTCAGATTCAAGCAAACAGTTCCAAATAAATTTTGAGGTTAACTTCAGAGTTCGGAAAAAGAAACATCCTGCTATTTCGCCAAAATGGCCGACGACCCGGGTCATAAGGTCATGCTGTACTTTCTAGAGGTACTTATGTACAGTAATGTACCTCTCACAATCAGCCAGCTGGCAGGACGTTTCGGAGGACGCAGCTTCACACCTGAAATGCGAACAGCCGCTGGTGGAAATGAAGCTGGACTCAAGAAGTTTCTATTAAAATATCCGTCACTATTTACAGTAAACGGAAACCTCGTCAGTCTAAACGATGGAACTGCCTCTCTTGGGGGGAACTTTCGAGAAAGCAGCCCAGCCTCCTCCTCAGGCTTCAGCCAATCAGAGGTTTCAGTAGAAACTGAAGCTGTCCAATTTTTTCGAGGTCGGATTGTCAAACGAGAAGAGACATGGGTTCCGATAAAGAGTCTCGCGGGGCATCTTTCACAAGCACCTGCTGAAATACGCGAGTGTGTTGGTCCACAAAATGAATTTCGTGAGTGGTTACTTAGGCATCCTTTAATTTTTGACGTGAAAGAAGACTTGGTGAGCCTAAAGGATAACATAACATACAGTGCTGTGAACCCTAATGCTGAACCAATCGAAAATTTAAAGATGCCCTCGACTCGACCAGATGTACTCCTACAATCGTACACACCTAAAATAAAACGAAGACCCAAGTCTCTTGACGTTGTAGAATATAATAGACAACAATCGGTTACTAAACCTGCAACTTCTGGTGCTAAATCTGGTCCTATCACAATGACAGCTAATGAATATAAAGCCGTCATGTTTGTGAAGAGTATTTTAGAAAAGAAAGGTGAAATGCGTATTTCTAATCTTTCAACACACATCAATCAAGCACCAGAAAGTTTACGCAACACAATAGGTTGGAACAAAAATGACATCACCACATTTATAGTCAATCATCAGAATATTTTCACCATTAGTGGTGAAGATCTTGTTTCAGCCAATCACAATACACGATTGAATGTCATTATAACTGGAAGCCGACCCCAGGCTTCGAACCGACCTACCGTTCAGGGTCGGAAAGGCAAGATTTATCATGTTGCCAAATTATGGGGCATAATCGACTTGGGCAAGCACGAACATGTATTTATCGATAGAACTATATTTGGTAAAAGTATTGATGATCTGAGTAAAGTTTTGAAAATTGGAGAAATGGTGTGTTTCGATGCGATACCTGCTCCTAAAGGCAGTCGTGCAAAGTGGCGTGCAATCAAAGTTTGGAAGGAGAACGAATCAATTGAAGATCTTTTGGATAAGATAGCTGCAAAGTTAGAACTTCCGATGGATGGTGTCAAACAACCGTTGTCACCTGTATCTAATATCGATGAAGAGATGCAGAAATTTATGCCTGAATTAAACGATGCTGCTGGAACTCCGTTGGATGTAAGTGGAATAAAATACGCTTTTTCTGATGCTGCTCCAAGTGCAGCTGGTGTGGTTCCAGTGTGGAATTTCAAACATGTTGAACTTGAAGGATTGCAGGACGTGGATGACATGCATTTCAGCGATGAGGAGGATAACAAACCGCAATTAAGCATGGTAGCAGAGCGTTATTTTATGAATCGCTCTGTTCTTGGTGATAATCAACAGGAAATAACCATAAAAACTGATGGAGAGCAAAGAAAGGCAACAATGACAAATGGGACAGCCGATTCCCCTAAAGCTGCCAACAAAGGTCAGAGGAAGATGATAGATGTAAGCTGTCAGACGATAACGACAGGGGACGTCCTCGCAACTCAGCTCTTCCATGAAAATATTTAACTTACAACAAATAAAATATGTGATACATTATATTATTATAAATAAACAACTTTTATTTATTCTATTCAAATAAAAACTATTTATTCAAATATTTCAAGTGACATGTTTAATCTGTCTTATTTTATTTTGTATCAACATGTATTCATGTATAAAAATAACTGATTTAGTGGTTTTAGAGTTTTTGTTAATAATAATGGAATTGTATTTAGAATGAATTTTATCGAGTCATTTATTTGGTATCTTATATTTTAACTAACCAATTTCTATTTAATTTTATGTTTTGTCCAAGAAATTTAAATTTCTTCCATGATTTCTCCTCCTAATCTTGATATTGACAAACTGAAATGAATGAATTTCGTTATAAATATTTAATGACTGGAGGTTTTAGTTATTACACGTAATTGCCCCTTCATGTATTTAGCTAGTTGATTGTATTTTGATCTCAAACTGACAAATAAGGCTCCAATTTCTACAGTAATATACATAATATATTTACAATCTATAAAAATTTACCCATATATAAATTTTGTTAGGAGGAGAAATCAAACAGGATAATCTGAATTTTTGAGCATTTTGAGAATTATATTACATGTATATTCAAGTGTATAACAACAGGGTTTTGTGTTTTGTTTGTTTTTGACTGAATGACAACACTGTAAATACATGTATCGACGATGGCCGTAGAGCCTCATCTCATACATGTAGATCATTTAATATATTCCCATACAAATTAACAAGGAACTCCAAATTAAGTAGTTTTCTACTGAAAGTCAAACAAAAGGTGACAAAATTAGAAATGGATTGAATGAATATTTTTAGTTTTGACACAAATGATTGAAGATCTTTGAGAATTGTTTTAGTTTTAATATTTTGTATAAGTTTTCTCTTCATGTGGGAAAAATTGTGTTTTCAACATAAAAACTCAGGATTGTTATTAGTAAGAAATGTTAAAATGAAATATTTTTGACTGTTAACCTTGTACTCACACGAATTGCGATGTACGACTGTTTACTATAGATCTTTATATTGTAGCTGCAGCTGTATGAATATGTGTCACTTGCATGCACTATAGTGTATACATAAATACATCTGTGTTAGAAATAGAACAAATAAAAACTTTTCTAAAAAAAATGAGAACAAAAGAAAGACAAAATCTGTATGGATAATTAAAATTCTGTTTTCTAACCTGGATTTCGAAGAATTTTAGTAATTCATGCAAGTTTTTGTTTTTTTATCTGTACTGTACAGTATGTATCGGTAATTAACTAGGAATTGCATAATAATAATGTACAGCTATTTTCGACAGCTCAAAATATTGTTTTTGCTGAAAAATTTCAACTGTAAATAGTTATATTTACTGTTTCCATGTTTTACCAAATAATCCTTCATGTTCTAGTTCGTTATAAATGTAAACAAAAAAAATAACACCTAGACTTTCTAATTTGTGTCAATATTTTCATTGCATAGCCTTTATATTGAGGTCAGGATATTTAAAACTTTATTTATCCTGATTTGCAAACATGTAGAGATTAAACTGATTATATGCATGTATTATCAAGTGAAAGTATTTTTACGTGAATATCTAGGCAGTTTACAGAAATTGAACAATCTGAGGATTAATTGGTTAAATATGGTATTTCGTTATATATCCTGCGGGTATGTTTTCATCATCAAACATCAACTGTGGAAACAATTTCTTATCAGAGCAGCAATTAGAACTTGTCAATTACGATAAAGAAATTGAAATAGGCAGTAGATTTGAGATATTTGTGAAAACAAAATTGATCTAATCTATTCTATAATGTGCAATATTTTATTCTTAGATATTTTTAAAAAGTTATTAATACTTAGAAGTCAATTGAGGCCGGTGCTTTGTTCTCCTTTTGTCGGCTCACATTATCTCAGTTTATTGTTTTTCGATGCTTGAGAAGTTACATTATGAACAATGATTACTAGTACTGGTATGGTTTAGATTTTTTGATACATGTAGGAAAACTTGAATTACTCAAGTTGGTTTGATACTGTCTTGTTTTTTTATCATTAGGATTTCTGTAAAATATGAAATGATTGTACTATGACTTCAAACCCCTTTTGATTCTCTCCTCAAGTTAATGTTACATATATATGTTCCTAATATAAGGACAATTATTAGACATGCAATAACTCCATGTTTAACAGGAATCCAATGTAAACCATTTATTTACAGAATCTCTCAGCTGTCATATGCATGTAATTAGCCTAGACTGCCTCAATTGAACTTATCTTTTTTTTTAGCTATAAAGTTTATTTTAAATAGTAAATTCCTTAAATGGCATTTAGTAATTGGAACATAATCAAATAACACACTATTTATGGATAACAATTACTGTGGTTTATTTCACTGCGACGTTTCAACAAGATTTCACAAGTCGTTATCAAGCATATAACACAAATGACACTCCATGTTTAACAGGAATCCAATGTAAACCATTTATTTACAGAATCTCTCAGCTGTCATATGCATGTAATTAGCCTAGACTGCCTCAATTGAACTTATCTTTTTTTTTAGCTATAAAGTTTATTTTAAATAGTAAACTATATAAAAATAACTTGTTAATCATGTTATGTGTATATCTGCTTCTAGATTATATTCTTTCTTCATTGAACAAAAATATGTTCTTTTATCAACATTTTGAGATCATAGAATTGTCTTCCATATGTTTATACTCATCAGGAACTTTTAGATTCTGCTTTTAGAACACTTTTGCTTTATTTTGATTTAACAGGTTCCTGAACTACTCGCTAAAAATGAAATGTACATTATTTTTTTATTGTTGGTAGTTTTCATTTTTTATATTTAATTTATATTTTAAAAAAATACCCTTTTCGTTTGTGGGATATTATTTGGCCTGGGTCTTTGTGGTATTTTGTTTCCTATTTTGTTGGAAACATGGTGACATCTTGGCAATAAATTTAAGTATTTTCAAATTGGACATATACCAAAAGAAATTGGCTTTGTAATGATTGATATTTTTTTTTGTCCCCCGCCTTTCGAAGAAAGCAGGGGACTATTAAAATGGGTTCGTCCGTCTGTCTGTCTGTCGGTCCGTCTGTCTGTCCGTCACACTTTTTGGGACACAATAACTCTCTTCCTAATTGAGCTAGAATGTTCAAACTTGGTGTATGTGTTTATTAGGTCAATGCCTTGATGGAGTTCGAAGATGAGCATTTTCCGCTTAGGGTAAGCAGAGATAAGCAATTTGATTGGTTGATGCTTTGGGACACGATAACTCTCTTCCTAATTGGGCTAGAATGTTCAAACTTGGTGTATGTGTTGATTAGGTCAATGCCTTGATGGAGTTCGAAGATGAGCATTTTCCGCTTAGGGTAAGCAGAGATAAGCAATTTGATTGGTTGATGCTTTGGGACACGATAACTTTTAATTGAGCTAGAATGTTCAAACTTGGTGTGTGTGTTTATGAGGTCAATGCCTTGATGGAGTTCGAAGATGAGCATTTTCCGCTTAGGGTAAGCAGAGATAAGCAATTTGATTGGTTGATACTTTGGGGCACGATAACTCTCTTCCTAATTGAGCTAGAATGTTCAAACTTGGTGTATGTGTTGATTAGGTCAATGCCTTGATGGAGTTCGAAGATGAGCATTTTCCGCTTAGGGTAAGCAGAGATAAGCAATTTGATTGGTTGATGCTTTGGGACACGATAACTTTAGTTCTAATTAAGTGAGATTGATGAAACTTGGTGTATAGTTTCATTACAGTAATACCTTGACTAAGTTTGATAATGAGCATTTTCTGCTCAGGGTAAGCAGAGCGATACGCAATTTGATTTTTATATGTGTCCTCTAATTATTTTCCTATTTCGGCGGGGGACATCAGCCTCACTGTTGGCTTGTTTATTATTATTCCAGATTAATTTATGAACTTTGATTACAAATAATATTATTCTAGTAGATTAATTTAAAATTTAATGAATTTATCATACAAATCCTAAATCATTTTATACTTCAAGTATTTTCTAAGAATTATGTTTAAAGAGAGGATTGTTTTTCTTGCATGTTTTCACTTTTATGCATCAAGTTATTTTTTTGTTCTATAATAAACATATTTATCAATGGTTAGTTCTATGATGTAGATACTGCATTTAGTTAAAAGTTGTCTAGAAAATAACTCATAGAATTTGTACAATTTAAATTCTATTTATTTTTAAAAAATGAAAAAAGTTGATAAAAATTAGATTTGTGCGAGAGTGTCTTTGTTCTGTTAACACACCTGATTAAAGTGGTGTGTTTACTTTGTTGAAATATTCATCATGAATGAATAATTCTTTTTGTAAAATAATATATCTGTGCCATGGATGCAATTGTGATGTAAATGTATGTTTTTAAGCCTTTGTTGGCCTAGAGAAAAATGCTATTTTACATTGTAACGGCCTGCTATTGTATGCAATTAAGTCCAATACTAAATCTTATAATAAAATATATTAAATGAATGAAATTGGTTAGCTTCAGTTTGTGATGAATTTTAAAATTAATTTGCTGTCACCCCTGTTTGTACAGGTTACAATTATGATCAACAAAGAATCCTGAATCCTGTATTGATATGCAACATTTTTCAATCCTCCAGACTTATGTCCTTTTGTTATGAAATTTTGTTAGGTCCACAGTGCACTATAGGCTACATTATGGACCTGTAATGGTTATCTATTCCAATTTGTTAACACCAATTAGACAATCGTATGATTACCGGTAAGATGAAATCTCCCTGTACCGAATCATCCGGTAATTTTTTTTCTATTTTAAGCTATGACATACTTTTACTAATCCAAAGGCGCACCTATGGGGCTATCTGTTCTGATTTGATTTGAAAATGAAATGAAAAGATGAGATGGTTTATGGCATCAACCAGGCCATATTGCACGAAACATCGCAACAATACATTGATACACATAAATAAAAATAAATATCACAGGTAGCCATAATTAAAAGCAAATAAATATCACATTTGTTTTATTTATAATATAAAAAAAAAAGGTTAGGCTATTTAAAGTTTAACAGTCTCAGACCCTACAAGTACAATTGAAATTTTTAATATTTGCATTTTCGTAGGCAAAAGACATTCGAAGACTGATATAAGAGTGTACAGAACTACTGAAATGGATTTTAAACTTCCAAGTTCCAGATCAAAATGGTTAAATTTTGGGGTTGGAAGGTATTCATTATCATAGAACTATGGACCGACGGTCCATGATAATATACATGTAGAACCTTTGAAACAAGTATGATTTCGATGAGTGGTGAAGGGGACACTACTCCATTTAGTGAATTTTATCACTGGTAAATCCCGACTATGAATCGGTGAACAATGACGTCACCAAAATAAGGGATAACCGTTATGACGCTAGTGACGATAACGGTAAAGGTGATGGAAGTTGTATAATAAGATAGTGGTTCTAGCGGTAAATCGAAAGGTAGAAACATTGAAGCATTAACACCACCTAGATTTATATTTCCACTTTGAAGGGTAAAAGATGCATCATCGAAACAAGCTACACGGCACGTGCACTCTTAACTTATCGTTTTCACCAAATGAAAGTGGTGTCAAAGTACACATATGTATGTCGCAATCTTTCGTGACAATCGCATGCTTTTGCGGAAAACAATCAAAAAGGCCATCTGCACGGCACAAGGCCAAAGGGGAGATAATTTGTTCAATTGCTACAATACCATTCATTAGTAGTATTTTGTCCTGTCAAATTCAAACAAGAATCTCAGTCTGAACTGCAGATTTTGAGTCATGAGTGCTATGGCCATAATAGGGCCTTGTAGAGTACAGGTACTCTGACTAAGCAGAGGTAGGTACCTACTGGTTTCATATGATGAGGGAGTTTATTTAAGACAAGAGTGTAAGAAATCATAGGGCCTACCTATCTGCACCTCAAACAGAATTGATCTGAAAATCGAAGAGCGTAATTGCGTATGAGTACAGTTTTCTCCAAATCACAAAATCTGTCAGAAGATTCATTTCTAATATGATTCCCCTGTTGATATATTTTGTTGCAGATAAAGATGAGAAAGCTGTAACATAAGAATACGAAGTCTAACAGTTCGCAACAATGTCCAAGGTTATCTCCTTCAATGATCGCCTTTTATTAGGCAAAGAGTTGTTGAAGTATGCCAAGAATGTCAATACCAACTTTTCAGAAATAGCAGTTAAGGAGCTTGAGTTACTTTACATTAATGAAAATTTTAAAGTTCATTTGTCACATACTCAGCTTGGTGTAACTACATTACCTCCCTTTGTTCGTGTTTTACAACCCTTAGAAACCACTCATAAAGTACAAGTAAGAAGAGGTGTTGTGATGGTAGCTGTAAGAGGTGGGCGAGGTAGAAGTGCTGGAGAAACTAAGGGTCCACCTGCTGGTACTGATAAAATTAAAGAAAATGGAGCAAGTAGGCCTAATCACAGGGAACACCAAAATGGCGCAATGGGTTTTGTATCGACTGACAATGTCCAACACAGTAGACAAAGAAAACGCTCAAGAGGACGTCGTCGCAATCCTGCAACAAAGCTTGCTGTCGATCAACATTTAATGATAAACAAACCTCCTGGGGAAGCTGAAGCGACGGGTGCAGGTACTGAAAAACTGCCCAAATTCATACATGTCATGGGGAATTTGTTTAATTGTGTTGCTTGTGGTGTGTCTTGCACATCCAGGAATGAAATGGAAAAACACATCACTGGACGACGTCATCGAGTAGCCGAAGTTATGCATGGATTAAGAAATAGAAGGTTTGCTTTTAAAAGATATTTATTATTTTTAGTTGTGGCTAACTGATGGCACAAAATAAGCTTTAATGTTTATAATTACTATTAAAAGTATCTTAATAATAATATGTGGGGAACTCCAAGTTCGAGTGAAAGAGAGAGAGAAATGGGGTTTAACGTCCACTCGACACAAACTAGGTCATTTCGGGACTAACATATGGTTTAATTTTATTTCAATAATTTGCTTGCACGTCGGGGTCTTTAGCAGTGAGAGGAAACCAGAGGACCCCGAGAAAACCCATGAGGTTGGACAGGTGACCCTACTCCTTGTCACGTACAACCAGGGATTCAAAACCACACCAGTTGACTCAATGACAGGCCTTATGAAACAGTGTGCATGTGCTAACCATTTGGACATCCCCCACCCCAGCCCCACCCCCCAAGTTCAAGTAAGCTTATTAGTTATCAAATGCTGATTTTAGTTTTCAAATATTCTTGGCCATTATTCAGATGCCAATCTTTGGGCTGGTTCTAGAAACTATAAATCTTTCAAATCAACATATTTGCCATTATCTGTTGGATATTAGTTGCTTTCATTCAATTAGATATATTTATAAATAGGCCTATCTTGTAGGAGACAAATAACAAACCACATTCCATTAGTTTATATCGAAATGAATAAAATGAAATGAAATGGGGTTTAACTTCCTACTGTCCTGCTCTGACTGGGCATACAGTGTACTAGGAGGGAAATTTTTGTTTGCTCAGACAGCGGCACTACAACATACTCTTACATCAAATTCCAACTACCAAGGGATCTTTTACATGCACACCATTGTGTACACGAGATGTCAGTTTCTATTCCCATCCAAACAAGTATATATATTGTCCCTTGCCAGGTCCTCTGTCCTGCACCACTGACAAGGGGGAACCATGTCGGAAAATCCTGAATAAACTTTTTCGGCAAGATAACATCTTACTTACTGAGCCACCATGGCTCCCGACATCAAATAAGACTACCAGTATTCAGCTTCAAATATTGAATATTTGTGTGAGTGTATTCCTGACTAAAACCTTAAAACTTTTGATGATTATTTTAGAGAAGAGTTGGTACAAGAAAAACAAGGAGTAGTTATCAAGTCAAACTATGATCTTGAAGATGGTATTGTCGAAGTTTCTGTCGCTGAAAATGAAGTTAAAAGTATTAAAGTCAATATAAAAAATACCCACCCTAGTCAATCAGTAGAATTGATACAGTGTGAGATGCTCAAACGAATTCGAATATTTCAACTAGATGATGCACAAAAAATAACAGAAGGAAGGACAGCCAGTGTTGTTTTAACACCAGGTAGGTTTATGTTCTCATTGAAAATTTCTAATTTTTCATTTAAAATTTCTATTTTCTCATTGAAAATTTCTAATTTCTCGTTGAAAATTTCAAATTTCTTGGTGAAAATTTCAAATTCACATATAAATATGAACTGGGGTTTAACGTTTTACTTTTCTGACCCCAAATGGGCAAATGAAGATGGACAAAGGCCATGTAGTGTGCTTTGAAGGAAGTTTTTCCTTACTAAACAGCATCCTTGGTATCCCCAGTGGTCAGATAATTTCAATACATGTCTCCCCCATGGATGAACCCAGGGTATGTGGAGTAAAACGGAATGAGACCACTGGGGAGATACCTAGGATAACGAAACACTAACAGTAGGTCTTTGGTTTATTCCTGGTGTTCGCTAAGAAACATCCTCAGGTATTTCCAGCCTGGTTTCCCCAGGTTCTCAGTGGTGCAAGACAGTGTGTCTGGCATGGAAAAGCGTTTAGTTGTTCGAATGGGATGACATCATCATTTCAATGATTGTTTGAATAAATTAACTGTTTGTTTATGCAGATAGTCATCGGTTGATTGGTAAGTTTGACCCAGGGTTCATATGAATGCCCGCCTTACTTATCTAATGACTCATTTTATCATTTCAGGAAGCAGCTATTGTGTTTTGATTAGAACTCAAGCAAGAAATGTTGGAAGTTTTCACACACCCTTAGCTTTCCATTTCCAAACTATCAGTCCGGCACCATTTGGCTTTCATATTGTACGCTATTTACATGCTCGATGCCAAAATAAAACCATTGAAAATATGAAACCAACCCAAAAATACAAGAGACCACCTAGGAAAGCACTGAAAAAGCCAGCTAATCAAATTGTTGACGGCTTCAAGTTACCCAGGTAATAATGGAGGCTCTGATTTATATTTATTATCTCTCTTCATTCACAAGACTTAATGAAATATTGTGTCCATGCATCAGAGGGTCCCTTATTCATGAAAACTTAAACCAATATGTTTTAAGGATTGAGTCTTTTCATTGGCTGGAAGTTGAAACCTTAGTACAAATTTTTCTTCTTTGCCAATGAAAAGCTAGCATTTTGAATATATTTTCGTGACTGAGGCCCCAGTTGAATCTGTTTTGCTCAAGTTGTAAATTTAGGTAAGGCCTCCTTCTTTTGAATAACTACTTTTAAAATCTTTTTCAAAAACCTAATAATTGATCACATCTGGGTTAGTGGCCCAAAGAAAATCTCTTCTTGAATATTGACTCCTTTTGGCAAGGCATTTACCAATGTCCATAACAAGATTTTTTCCAGTAAGAAAAGAATTTTATTTTTGTGGTTTGATAGGGTTTGGTAAAAACCTAAATTTTGCACTTTAGCTCGACAATATTGGAACATGAAGTACATTTTAGTCTTCATTTAAGGTGTTTTTATCGACTTGTCAAATCGCTTTGAATTTAGTGGAGGTGTCCTTTGACAGTATAGTTAATTTCAAAGCACTTTGGCGAGTTCGTTAAACAATTCTTGTGGCTGGACACAAGGTAATCGCTTTGGAAATCAGTGTCGATAAATTTGCTGATTAGGCTAATCAATTTGAATTAGATGGACGTTAAAGATGAAAATTTAATTGAATACTAATCACTTTGTATAATCAGTGGTCGATAATAATGCATTTATTTATAATATCAATCAAATTGATTTGATTTCAGTACGGTTGGTAATTTCTTAGAAAGAGAATTGGACTTAAAGACCTATTACATTCCTGATTCATTACGACACATCATTAACCGAGGTCTCACCAATACTAAAGGTTTAAAAACATCAGAGAAAATAGAAACTACAGCTTTAAGGTAAAATAATAATCATTTAACAGAAATAATGATCCATAGATTTAAAAGAGATGTCTCTCTATTTTTTTCGAAGACTCTGAAGAATATTTCTGAACAGTTTCCAAATGATCTCCCTTGGAGAACCTCAGCTTTTCAGAACTTTGGGTCACAAACAATAAAAAAGCTTTCTCAGCAGGTTTATGTCAAATCAGCTTTTTCTTGCTCATTTTTCTCCTTCGTTAATAACTTTACCTCGAGTCATTATGCCTTATATAATGCATAGTATAGATATTTAAATCATAGGTATCTTGTTGCCCCCCCCCCCCATAATGAATTGTATTATGTTGTTTATTGGTTGTATGTTACATAACTATGCTTGTAATATTATGGTGTTCAAAATCTATTGGTTGTATGTTACAGAACTATGCTTGTAATATTGTGTTGTTCAACTGTTATTGGTTGTATGTTACAGAACTATGCTTGAAGGAGATTTCTCCATATCAACATATCAGAAACGAATGGATGTGTTAATGCATTGTGAAGAAATACAGATGGAGGTTGATATTAGACAATATGACATGGAGGCAGCTACATTATCACCATGTGTAGAAAATAGCAGATTACTTGTATTAAAAGTATGTTTAATTATATCACTGTTATAAAATTAAGGAGGGGGGTTGGATGACCAAATGGTTAGCGCATGTGCATTGTATCATAATGTCTGTCATTGAGTCAACTGGCGTGGTATCGATTCCCCAGTTGTATGTGACCAGGAGTAGGGTCGCCTGTGCAATTTGAGGGTTTTCTCCAGGTTCTCCGGTTTCCTCCTACTGCTAAAGACCCCTACGAGCAAGTGAATTATTGAAATAAAATTGAACCATATGTTAGTCCCGAAATTACCTAGTTTGTGTCGAGTAGACGTTAAACCCCAAAATATCTAACAGGACTTGAGGGTCAAAAGAACTTAAATTTTCCCAATCGACATGTTAGAGAAAAAAAGAAACATGACTGAGCATAGCTGTGTCAAACCAATTACTTCTTGTATTTTATCTAGTAAATATATTGTAATATTTCTCGCCATTTCTTTGACTTGAAAGGATTTCATATATCTTTTGTTTCAGGTACCTGGTTTAGCTGAAAATCGTCCTTCAGTTTTACGCGGTGATTGGTTATTTGTACGTGTGGCTGATACCGATGATAAGGAATATAAAGGTTATGTTCATGAAGTTTGTCTTAATGAGGTCAGATTAGGATTTCATAAAAGGTGATTCTAAGCCTATTTTACAGAGATAATGCCTGGTTTAATTCTTACAGCTTGTTGATAAATGTAATGAATTGACAGAGGTTTGTGAACAGCTTTCATTTTAAGACACTAACCCGAGACTAATAGGGTTAAATTAAAGAGTTTTGAAGGTTTATCATCTTGGGCCTGTTTCACAAAATTTTAACTAAGATAAAATCCAAATTTTAGTAATTTGATTGGATAATATTAGTTTGATTTTAGTGCTTAACCAATCAAAATTGAAGTATCTACTAAAATTTGGATTTTAAGATTTCGAGAAACAGGGCCCTGATGATTAAATGAATTAGTAAATGTTCACAATGTGTATGATTACTTTTTGAACAATATTTAATTTGGAAACGATTTTGAAAGATGATAATAACTTAGAAATTTGCAAACATGAGAAAATATGGCTAATATTTAATATTTGTCTGTTTGCCGTCAGTTTAGATTAATTTAGTAAATGACTAATTTTTGCCCTTTCTTTTCAGTTTGTCAGAAATAGTTCGACCTGACACAAAGTTTCATGTACGTTTTGTATTTAGTCGTTTACCGATGTGCCTTCAACATCGGGCCTGTGAACTAGTAAATAAAAAAACGAGCTTATATAAACCGTTATTATTTCCTACTCTACAGGATGTTGGTACTAGTCCTCTAACACAACCTGTTAATACACCATTAAGGTAATTAAATTGGTTTAGAGAGAGAGAGAGAGAGAGAGAGAGAGAGAGAGAGAGAGAGAGAGATTGATTTACTCCACTTGACACACTAGGTCATTTTATCACTAACATGGTTCTATTTTATTTCAATAATTTCAATAATTTGCTTGTGGGTATGGGTCTTTGGGAGTAGAAGGAAACCCGAGGACCTAGAGAAAACCCACGAGGATGGACAGGCGACCCTACTCCTTGTCATATACAACCGTGGAATTGAAACCACGCCAGTTGACTCAATGACAGACCTTATGATACAGCGCGCATGTGCTAACCATTCAGCCATCCAATCCCCCAAATTGGTTTATAAGGAACACAATAAATATCGAGGACCTGTTTATGACAAAAAAATTCTTGCTCTCTTTACCTCAAGTGTTGAAACTTTATGAAACATATAGGAATATAATGGTCTACTTTAAATATTTTCACAAACTTTAAATTCTGTGTATATCATTTTCTTTAATAATAGGTGAAAACGACCAAAAGTCATTGGTAATGAATGAAAACATCACAGATATAAAGACTCAAGGATTATTTTGTTAATTTTCAGGTTTTACAGCAAGATCCCTGTTAATCCAGAGCAAGAACGTGCCATTAGACATATTGTAGCTGGAACCTCGAGACCAGCTCCATACCTTGTATTCGGTCCTCCAGGAACTGGGAAAACTTTCACAATCGTTGAAGCCATGAAACAGGTAAGCACATATTGTTAATATTTCGACTGTCAAAATATGAAATATACTGCAGTATAATAATTTGTCAAATGTATTATATTGTAAGATAAAATGCTGTACTATACAATTTTAAAATGACAATCGAAGGAGTATGTGGTCTAAGGGGAGATAATATTGTGTTGAGGACAATCAAGATGAGTTATCTCCCTTGCATTTTTTAATTAAATTAATATAATTTACCATACTATACTGCATCTTTGTGTTTAATATTATTGGTAAATGGCCTTTAACTATACATTTGACCATATTTAATTAGATCATGATTATAATAATGATAATTTCTTTGCTGTAGGTTTTAACATGTGATCCTGGTGCTCATGTTTTGGCCTGTACACCATCTAATAACGCAGCAGATCTACTTACAGAAAGATTATTAGATAATAGAGAAATACTAGGGAATATAATCAGATTGAATGCTGTATCTCGTAGTTGGAGAAGTATTCCTGATAAAGTTAAGGTATGGTATTAAATGTCTTTAGTGGTCAAATGACCCAACTGGGCTAATGAAGATGGTCCTACGCTATGCAGTGTCTTATTTGGGAAATTTTGCCTGAACAACGGCACTATAGCCTACTCTTATTTTGAATTTCAAACATTTTGCCAAAAGTGTATACAGAACTTTGGCTTTTCGGCTCAACCATATGATTCAAGCTTTTCCCATACCAACCCCAACTCCATCCCAGCCGATGAGGGATGAAATGGGGACATTCTGGTTAGTAAGCTTCCACCATACTCACTGATCCACCGTGGCAAAATATTAATTGTGTGAACTCCCTTCTACTACTCTGGGTTTTAGTCATTATTTATATCTGGGCTCTTACTTAAATTTAGATATTTTACAAGCCAGGCATTTATATGGGTATTGTAGGTTTCCAAATATCAGAATCTACCCTGTGATGTTTTTTTTTTTTTTCTTTTACCGTAGAACAAAAAAATGCTTCAGAAAAAATATAAAATCAGATTGTATGCTTTGTAATATAAATATTCAAATTTTTTGATAGGTTTGATTGATGTTCTGTTTGTTGATATTTATATATTTATTTATTATAGAATGTAAGTAATTATGATAAGAAGACTAATAGTTATTATTATCCATGTAAGAAAGATTTAAAGGAGTATAGAGTTATTGTATGTACTGTTATAACAGCTGGCAGGTAGGTATATCATAAAGAGTTGGTCAAAAAAAGCATTATCCAAATATTTATACCTGTACAATAATCCCCCTATAAAAATACTCCCCTATGATTTCAGACAATTCAGTTTTTCTGAAAATTATCTACCATTATTAAGCTATGGCCCTAAGAAGTAGACTCGACACCCCTCGACGGATATTCTGGTCTTAGAAAACAGCAGATATCTACTTCATTTTTGAGTAAAATGAAAATTTAATAAATAGAAAATATAATCAAAAAATTAGCATTAAATAAATAAGCATTTGCACAAGAAAAATGCACCCCGGTATTTCTAAAAATAAATTGATTTTTTTAAGCCATAGATTTAATGCTTTGACTTTGAATTTATGCACAGTGTTTATGTTCACGAGATGAAGAAGCCTATTGATTTCAAGTACATGTTCTGTATAATAAATGTTTGCACAGGGAAGACCTAGAAGTCCTTCAAATTTTAATTGTTTCTGTTAATTACTTAAAGATGCATTATGTAAGAATTAGATAAAAAGCTGACCGTTGTCGCTATAATAATTTTAAAATAGATAATGAAAACGAAATATACTGAAAATTTAAGTCATATTTGTTTTATTCTGAGCAAAGTTATCAATATTTGAAGTTTGACAAGAATAGCGCAGTCTCAATTTTCATTGCTACCATTGTTATGAACACAGTCTCAATTATCCATTTTTGAATTAAATTATTAAATGATAATCTTGTTTCAGTCCATTAAAAATCTCGACCATCCGATAGTCTAGTGAGTAGATTATGGTCTTGTCATGTCAATAATTAACAATTTATATATAATTTGAGGTCAAAAGAAAGATCTGCAATAGGAAGATTTAGTTCTTACATAATGCATCTTTGACTAGTTTTACTGTTGCTGTGATTTACTTGATATTTATTTTATTTTTAGATTAGCATCAGCCAAGTTTCCTGTTGGTCATTTTACACATGTGTTTATAGATGAAGCTGGTCATGCTATAGAACCTGAATCTATGATAGCAGTAACTAATATTTTAGATATTACAACAGGACAATTAGTTCTAGCTGGTGATCAAAAACAACTTGGTCCAATACTTAGATCTCCTTTTGCTATAAAATACGGTCTTGGTAAGTATATTCAACATTTCATATCAGGCTTTATGGAACTTGATAAATATTAGTATTTGAGGATGATGGGGATTCTCGTTTATGAGCGAGACCAAAAAATGTCCATATTTTTATTTTATAGAAGTTTTTTGTTGTTCATTATTTTACCTCATGAGAGTGGAATGAATTTTTACGTTTCCTTTCTCAATTTTGAGATGTCTGTGTGGTATCAAAAAAACTCTCTTAACAAACGCAATGTTCCAAAACTAACATTTAAACCAAAATGTGTTCTGCTTCGCAGCTACTGTTACTATGTAGCATCGAATTTGTTACTCATTATTTACCTCATGAGAACAACTAAGTAGAATGAATTTTTAAGTTTCCCTTCTCAATTTCGAGATGTCTGTGTAGTATCGAAAAAACTGTCTTAACAAACGCAGTGTTCAAAACTAACATTTAAACCAAAATGTGTTTTGCCTCGCGACTACTGTTACTATGTAGCGTTGACTTCTGAAATCAACATCCATTCTGTGACAGGTGATGTGTTATGAGGCAGGGTATGCTTAATTACTCTTTCTTGAACACCTGATGCCACTCTTCATTTTTATTGTGAAAGTTCACATGGCCAACAACTATATTAACTATTCAGCATAATCATTTATTTTCTTTTCTGTATTTTAGGAATGTCATTATTGGAGCGTTATATGACAGACTGTGGGATTTACAGCAAAATACTGGAGAAAGATGGCATCTGCCGATATAATCCAAACGTCTTGACTAAGCTGGTGAAAAATTATCGATCACATCGAGCTATCTTACATCAACCTAACATTTTATTTTATGATGGAGAGTTACAAACCTATGCCGACCCAAAAGTAGCCAATGAAATGTGTGGTTGGGAATGTTTGCCCAATAAGAATTTCCCAATTATATTCCACTCTGTTTATGGGGAAGAATTACGAGAAGAGAGAAGTCCATCGTTTTTCAACCCAGAAGAAGCTTATTTAGTTTTACAATATGTCAAAGACCTAAAGAAACTTAAAGGGTCAGCGAAACTGGAAGATAAAGATATTGGAATTATTTCCCCTTATCAGAAACAGGTGGGTGCAATACCTAGTTTGGATACATTGATGTCGCATCTATATATTCTCTGTTGACCATTCAGTGCCCATTTTTGTTACAGGCTGTTCTTATAATAAAATGGGGCCCCAATAACTGAAAGTATAAATGAACCCTGTTGGAATTTGATATAAGTGTAGGCTGTAGTCCTGGTGTCCAGGCAAAATTTCCCTTAGCCAACTGTATGGTGTATGTCCATCTTCATTATCCCAGTCAGTGCAGAACAGTAGGACATTAAATCCCATTTCATTTCATTAAACTTCCTTAACATCTAATGAGAACTTAATGGTCATGCTTGAAACATGAAAGAAATGACACCAATAAAAAATTGATCAAAATATTTTTTTTACATTTGTATGGTTATTTTAAAAATATTTTTCTTAAAACTTGTGTCTTTGTTGAATTAGGTTCGAAAGATACAGAGGATGATGTCAACAAATGGATGGAAGAACATCCGCGTTGGTTCTGTGGAGGAATTTCAAGGTCAAGAGAGGAAAGTGATAATCGTGTCTACTGTAAGAAGTAGTCCGGAGTTCCTGTCTTTAGACATTAACTTTAAACTCGGATTTTTACGTAATCCAAAGGTGAGTACTTTCCAATATTTTTTATCGTCAAGATTTACATAGTTTGGAGGATATTGAGCCCATGTTGGGTTGAATTCAAATCCCAAGTGACTCTTTATTTTTCACGAAACGGGTATTAGTGTACTATATGAATCAGGAACTGAACAAGACATCATCGCAGACATCTTGAGATTGTGACGTTCATATCAAAAATTCATAGAACACACATACCAATGTCCATGTTCGAATTGGCCGAGCGTTTGGATTTTTTTTTTAAAGAGTGTTGTCCCTCATAACAAGAAGATGAAGATAAGCATTGACTGGGATCGAATCTAGGACCTCCTGGTTAGTGAGCCAGCACCATACTCACTGATTCACTGTGGTTCCTGTTATATTGATGAGATATATGTATTTTATATTGTAGAGATTTAATGTAACGGTGACTAGAGCTAAAGCTTTGTTGATTATTGTTGGTAATCCTAATATACTAACACTAGATGATACATGGAGCAGGTAGGTTTATAATTGTTTTGTCAAGAAATGGTTGTTCTCTATAACAGTGGTTCTCAACCTTTTTTTTGCCAATGGCTCACCTTGGAACACATGAAAAAATAGCGGCACACCTGGCTAAATAAATATGAAAAAAATTTGAATTTTGCAAAAAAAAACATGGCAAGTCATAGACGGCATACAACCGTAGACACATACTAGTCATAAACACATAGAATGACTCCAACTAAATAAAGAAAACACAGCTATGAACTTACCAGTAGACACCAGTGAATACTCAATTGGGATCGGGTGGTCTTTTGCATTTTCCTAGTGTGCCTTTCAAAATTTCACACTGGTTGAGAATCACTGCTCTATAATGTCATTTCTATTTTAAGAATTTAACTAACTTCATATGGTGTCACAATCCCAAAGTACTCAGCTTATTAACTACACATTACATAGATCTTGATATACATACATATTGTAATAGTGCTGTCTCCATCAGTCTGTCCGTAGGCTTTTCACTTCAAGATTTTGAAAAATGTGACAAATATTAACATTATCCCCAATTTTAAATTCTTTGAAATTCTGATTCTATGGCATGTAAATTGACTGACAGTCAGTTCACTAGCAAACGGGGGGGGGGGGGGGTTAACACATGGCCGAATGGTTAACACATGCACATTGGATCATAAGGTCTGTCATTGAGCCAAGTGGTGTGGTTTCTCGAGTGGACGTTAAACTCCATTTCTCTCTCTCCCTCACACTAGGAAACAGTCAAGACTAGCAAATATGACTAAGGGAATGATCAAGCAGACTTAGCTTGGTTATACTTTTTTAACTCATATTTTCATTTTAAAGCGAGAGCCTCAACCAGAATGTGAACACTGTCACGTTCCTTTGACAGTTAAGCACATTTTGATTGAGTGCAAGCATTTCAAGGATATTAGATCAAATTTTTACCGTTGTCAGTCATTACATCACATGTTTGCCCAACCGGGTTTATATTGTAAAGTATTAGACTTTTTAAAAGAGACAGGATTTTATCATAAATTTTAATTGTATATATATATATATATATCATTTTATTTTTGCATTTAGTATTTATATGCATAAAAGTTGTATTTTATTTTTAATTTTACTAACTGTAATATTGTTTTTATTTATGCATATCATGTTTTTCTGTGATATAATTTAGCCTGTCTTGTAATATTCACCATATGTTTGGCGCAATATAGCCCAGTTGGAGCTGACGTGCCATATAACCACATTTCATTTCTGAAATGATTCCTTGTGAATATTCTACCAAATACATTTATCACATCTACCAAATTACATTTATGTATGGTTTGTAATAATTTTATTTGTACACATAAATCCTTCCTAAGGCATTGACTTATTTTACCTTTTTCAATTTCAGCTTTATAGATTACATAAAAGAAAATGGTGGCTTAGCTGGCACTGAACAACTGGATGATCAAGATGATATGTTAGAAGACATTATCCAGCGATTAAACACTGTTCAACTCACAGACATAGGTATACAAATTTTTAATGCATGGGTCCTTGTATATTTTTTTTGGATGGAAAAGTGCTTCCCCTGGCAATTGATCTCACAACAAATCTAAATATATGATTTTTTCCCAATCTGATTTAAATACAGATCTATATTTCGTTTCGTTTTTAATATACTTTCGACGACCTCTACTATATAGATCTGACCATGCAGTTGTAGTGGGAGGTTGCGTCAGGGGTAGTATGAGCGACTTTTGACCCTATGACTTCAAATCAACGTTGACGTTTCTAGTTGTTTACCCACAGTTCAGTGCAGAGCACGCTAAGAACTTGCCGTAACAGGCGGTTTCATTTGCTAATGTTTCACATCAACTGGAACGCCTGTTATATAACAACTCTTCCAGATCCTAGTGTTGTGAAGTCAAGTAAAACGAAATGTTGAACTATAAAAAAAACGAAACGAAATAGGATGTTTGTTTATTTTGAGGATCATGGTGGCTAAGTGGGTAAGATGCTAGCTCGCTAGCCTGGAGGTCGGGTGTTTGATCTCTGCATTGGCCGAGAAAGTTCATCCAGATTTTCCGGCATGGTTTCCCCTTGTCAGTAATGCAGGACAGAGGACTTGACAAGGCCAGCTGTCTAGTCGTTCGGATGGGACGGAAAAACCGAGGTCCCGTGAATTCGATCTAAGAGGAGGTCATAGTGCCGCTGCCTGGGCAAAATTTCCCTCATAGCACACTGTATGGTGTATGCCCGTCTTCATTAGCCCAGTTTAGGAGCAGAACAGTAGGACGTTAAACCCCATTTCATTTCATTTGTTCATTTTTGTTTATTTTTCAGATATAGAAACCGCTAGTCATTTTAATGATCAGTCATGGAGACAAGATATATAGAAACCATAGCAATCCCATAACAACAAAGGGGGACAACTCTAATTTTAATATCCTGTGCAATCCTGTGATAATTTTATGCACTGTATATAATCATATCATAATATACAGAAATCAGTTATATTTTATAACATTTTTATACGCCCACATTTTCATGTGGACGTATTATGCCGTCGCCCCTGTCTGTCCGGACTTCCACAATTTGTTTGTGGACACTCTACAGGTCACAATTCTTATCCGATTTTGACGAAACTTGAAATATAGGTTTATCTCCAAAAGATCTTGGTTCCTTTCGATATTGGCATGTATCGGATCGAAACTTCATGGATTATGGCCCCTGTTTGTACGATAAATCACGTTTTTAGCTTGTGAACACTATAGAGGTCACAATTTTTATCAGATTTTGTTGAAACTTGAAATCTAAGTTGATAATCCAAAGATCTCGGTTCCTTTCGATATTCGCGCATATCGGACCGTAACTTCCTGAATTATGGCCCCTGATTGTACCAAAAATCGTGTTTTTAGCTTGTGGACCCTATAGAGGTCATAATTTTTATCCGATTTAAAAAACCGTTCAAGTATATCACCGTTACACCCTAAGGATGGCTGTATACGAATTTCGTGAAAATCGGCCCGAAATTGACAGACAAAATGGCCGCCGTTCGTTCTCAAATAGCGTAAAAATATGGTATATAAATGTTGTGGACACTATAGAGGTCGCAATTTTTATCCAATTTTGTTGAAACTTGAAATCTAAGTTGATAATCCAAAGATCACGGTTCCTTTCGATATTCGTGCACATCGGACCGTAACTTCTTGAATTATGGCCCCTGATTGTACCAAAAATCGTGTTTTTAGCTTGTGGACCCTATAGAGGTCATAATTTTTATCCGATTTAAAAAAACGTTCAATTATATCACCGTTACACCCTAAGGATGGCTGAGGATGAATTTCGTGAAAATTGGCCCGAAATTGACAGACAAAATGGCCGCCGTTCGTTCTCAAATAGCGTAAAAATATGGTATATCAATGTCAATTGTTATCCGATTTTGTTGAAACTTGAAATCTAAGTTGATAATCCAAAGATCTCGGTTCCTTTCGATATTCGCGCATATCGGACCGTAACTTCCTGAATTATGGCCCCTGATTGTACCAAAAATCGCGTTTTTAGCTTGTTGACCCTATAGAGGTCATAATTTTTATCCGATTTAAAAAAACATATTATATCACCGTTACACCCTAAGGATGGCTGAGTTCGAATTTCGTGAAAATCGGCCCAAAATTGACAGACAAAATGGCCACCGTTCGTTATCAAATAGCGTAAAAGTATGGTATACCAAGGTTGTGGACACTATAGAGATCACAATTTTTATCTGATTTTGTTGAAACTTGCAATGTAAGTTTATAACCCAAAGATCTTGGTTCCTTTCGATATTCGCGCATATCGGACCGTAACTTCCTCAATTATGGCCTCTGATTGTATGAAAAATCGCGTTTTTAGCTTGTGGACCCTATAGAGGTCATAATTTTTATCCGATTTAAAAAAACGTATTATTATATCACCGTTACACCCTAAGGTCGGCTGAGTTCGAATTTCGTGAAAATCCGCCCAAAATTGACAGACAAAATGGCCGCCGTTCGTTCTCAAATAGAGTAAAAATATGGTATATCAAGGTTGTGGACACTATAGAGGTCACAATTTTTATCCGATTTTGTTGAAACTTGAAATGTAAGTTTATAACCCAAAGATATCGGTTCCTTTCGATATTCACGCATATCGAATTGTAATTTCCTGAATTATGGCCCTTGATTGTAGGAAAAATCACTTTCTTGTTAGCTTGTTCTCTATCCATCTCTCGAAAATGTGGGCGTATCCTGCCTGGCAGCCGCTGGTTAATGATTTATATCTGCTTAAAGGACAAAAAACTATTTGGATTAGGTTGAAATTCGAAATAAGAGTAGGCAGTAGTATAAAATTTCCCTCATAGCACACTATATGGTGTATGCCAGTCTTCATTAGCCCAGTCGGAGCAGAACAGTAGGACATTAAACCCTATTTCATTTCTGTTTTACAAAACAAATCAACACATCACATTCAACAAACGATAATTTTATTTTTTATTCTATTCAAGATTTTCATGTCTGATAATGTTATTTTTATGTACTGGAACTGTTTAGAAGGACATATGTATATTATCTGTGGTGTTTAAGTAATGCACAAGGATGATTACATGTATTTGGTTTTATTACTTCATTTGGTCTTCAGGGTGTTGAGCAGCCTAACATGCACATTTTAAAGCTAGCACTGTAATTTTTATTGATAAGATATGACATTTTTTGTTATTTGGGGTGATAAACTACATATTGATTACCAAAAAATAACAATTTTAATTACAACGATGTTCCATGTCTGGTATCCATGGAAATGCCAAAAAAAAAACGATGAGTTTCCTTGGAAATTCTATTAGTACATACTAAAAAGAGATATTGATAATCCGCCACCCCCGCCCCTCCGGTAGATCAAAAGTAGAGGTAATAAGCGACATTTCGATGCCAAAAATTATACAGTGTGAAAATGCTACTGAAGACGGCCATGATTGTTTACTGCGGATGACACGAACATTGTGTATGACCTTATAATTTATTCAAGAACTGATCTTGGTTGGGGAAATCTTCGCGTTTACTATAAATATTTTTTTTCTTTCCGCTTGTATCTCCATTATTACTATTATGGGTCCTCTGGGTTATTTTACGAATGGAACAAGTGTGCAAAGTTTTAATAAGATTGGTGTGGAAAACTTAGTGCATATCTTAGACTACTCAACGCCCTTAACCAACGTTGACTAAAGCTCAGAGCATAAAACGTTTTTTTATTGTTTTGTTTCATTTTGAGAAATATCTTGTGAAAGTTAAGCAGTTTTTTATTATTTGTTTGTTATTTGTGATTTGGGTGAGGATTTTAATGACAATTCTTCCTAACTTCGAGAATATATGACATTTTTATATGCCCACGATTAATGTGGACATATTATCGTCACCTGCGTCTGTTCAACAGACTCTGTTGGTCCATTGGTCCATCCCATTTCCCTAGGTCATAAGGAAGAAACCTTTTGAAATTAAAGAAAATTTATCCCAAATTTCAGAGTAATTTTCCCATTTACTTGTGAAGATCATACATGACAAGTTTGAGGAAGAAGTTTTCAATCATGATTTAGAACACTTTTTGCCAGATTATATTTCTGAACATATTTTGACTTTTAAAGTTTGTGAAAGAGATACAGGACACAAAGTATTTAAAGGAAATTTTTTAAAACTTGGTTGGTTGTTGATTTGGACCTAAAAAAGAGCCCTAATGAAATTTGGAATTTCTTTTATTTAAAATCACAGATTTTAAAAATTGGTTGGTATTGCTTATTGTAACTAAGCAAAAAAGTTACCAAATTTCAGAATTTTGGATTGTAAATTTTCCATGAGTTTGCAGTTTTCTTTCCATTCTTAATATGACTGTTAAATCTTGTTAACATGATACAGGACAAATTTCCTAGTGGAATTTTTTAAAGCTTAGAGAGATTATTTATTGATGCGTAGTATTGGAGTTCTATAAATTTTGGTTGCATTTCACAGGGTTATTTCTCAGTTTACATATTGACTTTTAAAGCTTATATACAGAGGTCATAATCAAGTTTTTAAAACTTGCTTGTAGGGTTTGTTGACAATGCTTTAGATAATTTTTCTGCTGGTTGGTGGGCATATAGACTGGAGGTCCTGGACAAGCCCCCATCTATGCTATTTCATCCAATTTAGGTTTTGTGTTTTACCAAATACGCTACCTAATGTAGTGTGTGTATTTTAGTTTTCCTAATTTCATTGGAGCTAATTCTGCCTATTGCAGGTTTTTAATTTGGCTTCTAAGTTCTATAAATTATTATTTAGACATTAATTGACATGAAAGTCTATAATCAACTCTCTAGACCATTGGATAGCAGAGATTTAAACATTGCTACATTAATAAACAATGTTTTCCGCATCTTGTCAAAACTTCAAACAGTGATAACTTGGCTCAGAATAAAGTAGTTTGAATGAAATTTTCAATATATTAATTTTGAATTATCTATTGTCAGCTCTTTATCTAAATCTTACATAGTGCATCTTTAAAATATGACAACTGTTAGCCTGTCTTGTCTTGTTATATAAAATGTGATTTATTTTTATTCATAGTCAACAATGTGGCAATAGAAAACGATTCATTCATGGGTATTGGATATCAAGGAAAGGGTACAGTTACCTGATTTGTTTCGGTGGCATTCCGTAAATAAACTCAAAATAAACAAGTCTCAATTCAATGGCATTTAGTAATTGAACACGAAATACACAGGTGACAATTCTGTGGAATACAAATAATGTTTATTACTGAGCAGTGTTTCCATAGTCTTTATAAAGTGATAAGCAGTTATTGTATTCCATAGAATTGTCACCTGTTTTTATAATTACTTCATTTAAAAAAAAGAAAAAGAAGATTTTCTAGCAAAGGAAACATTCTTAGCTTGTTGTTATTTTATATCTTTTTTAAACAATCATTTAATGTGGGATTATGTCATCACCTGAGTTCATGTAAATTTTGATCAACTATATTTGTTTCATAATCATTTCACAAAGCTTCTGATGTTGCCTTGACTGTTTTCTTATGGGTTTTTTTATTAAAGATTTAATGTCCAATACATGAAATATGATATTATGGACAGGTTGATTTAATTAAATTATTTACACTTAATGGGTTGAGAATTGGTAGAAACATAAAATAAAAACGTCCTTGTATATCAAATTATAATTAAAACATTTATGGAAATAATACATGGCATTAAATTTTTAGACATAAATTAAATTGATTGATATGCACTGTTATTGTTAATAATAGTTGTGTAGGTCCCTATTCTTTTTGTCATTACTTGCCTTGACTGTAAAGTTACTAATTTTTATGTTTTCATATTGATTAACAATTGTATTCTGTTTGATTGACCATTCTATTCTGTTTGATTGACCATTCTATTCTGTTTGATTACTTTTTGTTATTGCTAATTGCACAGGTAACTATTTTGGTTAATTATAAAACCAATTATCTAAGTTTTTACAGTTAAGTAAACTAAGCTTCTTTTACAGATTGATTATCAAAGTTTCTATAGAGGTTTCCCTAGTCAGTGGTGTAGGACGGAGGGCCTGACAGCTGTCAAGTCATTTGGATGGGATGAAAAACCGAGGTCCTGTGTACACGTTGTTGTGCACATAAAAATCCCTTGGCAGTTCTAATTCGATATAAGAGTAGGCTGTAGCACCGCTGCTCGGGCAAAATTTCCCTCATAGCACACTGTGTGGCGTATGCCCGTCTTCATTAGCTCAATTGGAGCAGAACAGTAGGACGTTAAACTTAAACCCTATTTCATTTCATTTCTGTAATGTTAAAATATCTAAATTTATAAATACAGTTAAAGTCTCTTTTACAGTTAAATTCAGTAAAAGTTTCTTTTATTATGATTGGTTATCTAAATTTCTATAATGGTTAATTTACTAAATTAGGCTACAGTTAAAAAAAACTCTAGTTTCTCTTATCACAATTAATTATTTATGTTTCAATTCGGCTTAATTAACTAAATTTCACAATAGTCTTAATAGGCTTAATTAACTAAATTCTATTACAGTCAATTAAATGTCTATTGCAGTCAATTAAATGTCTATTGCAGTCAATTAACTAAATTGTTTGTATTGTTAATTAACAAAGTTTGCATGTATGGTTAATTGAGCATCAGTTTTATATTATGGTTAATTGGAATATCTATAGATCTTCTATTAAAGTTAATTTAACTAAGTTTCTATAGAAGAGCTAATTGTTTATCAAAGTTTCTATTTTATCTCAGTTCCTTGAGAAACTATGACCATCTATTCACAAAATATATTATTTTAAAAGTGTGTTGAATTTAGAAATGTTAATGAGAGAATTTAGAAATGTTAATGAGTGATAAAAATTAAAATGAAGGATGAAAATAAAGATTTATACAGACATTTATACTTGGTTGGCTTTATCAACTCCTCTTACGTTGGAATTTTAAAAAACAAATTAATGTCTTAATCAAAGTACAAATGTACTCTAGGAGAAAATCTGACAACAGATTAGCTTGGAATAACAGATGAGCCTTGGTTATAAACCATGTATAAACATTGTCCATCCAAAATCCTATGGGTGCACATATTTCAGACAAGGGCCACACAGACTTCAGATACAACCTTTTTTCAATTCTTGACAGGTTGTAGAAAAGGTACTTTTTTAGTTTTATGACCCTCTGTCGTAGCTAAGCAATTTGATCAGTAAACATTTGAAAAAAAAGATAGTAGGCCTTCCTTATTCAAACAAAGCATCCGCTGGTTCATGATGGAATGGGGGTGGGGGGGTGGATGGTCGAATGGTTAGCACCTGTGCGGTGTATCATTAGGTCTGTCATTTAGTCAACTGGCGTGTTTTCGATTCCCTGGTTGTACGTGACCCGTATTGACAATCTTACCGACATTATCCCAGCTTTATGATTTAAACTGTAAGTGTGAATATGTCACTAAATTACGTAGCGAATTACCTTTGGTTACCATAGCTACGTTCGGCTGCCATCAATTTTCCTTGATAACCCCATGAAAGTTCCTTCCGACAAGAGCGCAAAATGGTCTTGTATTTGTAGGCCTAATGGCCAAACAAATGTTATTCAGTATATTAAATGAGTAAAGTGTTACCTGTATAAGTAAATATTTAAATTATATGTTATAATACCTGAATAATATTAGATCACTAGCGCGCGACAGAGAGTGTGCGCTCTGACGTATGTGAGAAATTAAAAAAAGTTAGCGGGTACCTTGAAAATATAAAGCTCACTTGTTTGTTGATATTAATATACCCGGTAAAATATAAGCCAACCAGAAAACGATTTGACAAAACTCACGATACTTGTCAACCAATCATTTTTCATGTTTTGGTTTTGCCCCCAACTGGCCTCAATAGGATGGCGTCTAAAAGCGTGAGTAACCTCAATATTTTACTATAGCAATTTTAATCCTTTTAAACTCTTTCAAACTTTTCCATTTTATTTAGACTATGTTTAATTTGTTCACCGATGCATAGTTTCCAGTTGTCATGGATGTCCACACAAATTTTATCTCAAAATTGCAACGGTTTCTACCGCGTAAACGGATGAAAAAGCCCGGCTGGATATACGCATTTTAAAATTTTTACTATAACGCTACTATCGTCAGCTGGTTATAGTATTGAAGACCGCTTAAAAGTTTGTAAAGAAGAGTACGTTATGTTGTAAACATGTTATGCGAATGTCCAAACAATGCAGGGGTAAGTTTCTGATCTTTTAAGAACAAAAGTTCAATAATTAATTAAGTAATAGAGGAGTCGAGCGAAATAACACGAAGACAAACAAGGTTAAGATTTAAATATCCCCATGGCCTATATAGATATATCTATATTGTACACGTATTATGGATATATTCAATTGTTTATTTGCGGTTTCACAGCTGAGCGAATTGAACCGTTTCCCAAGATACGTACTTCCATTTTTCTTAATCTTTTTGGGGAATACAAATTATTGAGCTATGTTCGATTTATTTTTTTAAAAAATGGAAATGATTTTGATGGGAATATTAATATATCATTAATTTTTTAAGTTCCGACACCTGCATATTAGCGACTAAATTTTAAACGAATAAACACTGGTATTATTGCCATAACTAGGATTTAGGCAACTGAAATATGGAATATCTACAAATTATTCTATAAACTTTTACTGCAGATCTTCCTATGCATTATTGTTCTATTCACGCGTGTCAAATCGACCCGTTTTATTTATAATAGTGACATCATCTATATATGTCATATAATGACTCAAATTACAAATGAGGGAAGACGAAATCCGTCGACACATCTTAAAATACAATGTACTCAAATATATATAAAAAGAACGAACCACATTTATGATAACTATTAATACCAACGAATTTCCGATTCGAATCGAAGTTTATCAGAAGTCAAATATTTTATTTTGTAAATCGGCCATGTTGACCTGCTTTCATACATAACTAAAACATTAATAAGCAGATTAATAACGTTATCTGATTTATTTTAATAATCTGATTTATTTTAATAATAACACATTTTAACAATAACACATTTTAATAAAAGCACATTTTAATAATAACACATTTGGTTCGCAATGAAAGTCAATTAAAGAAGATTTTATTTACATGATTTCTCCAAGAATATTATCTAAATTTCACAAAGTTCATATATATATATATATATATATATCCCAATGTATAATTTTATAGGCTGTATAATATTGATATTGTCAGGGTTAATTTATTTTTCGGGTCTAAAATTCCATTTCCAAAAATGGCGGTAGATTATATAATATACTTTAAGCCAAACTATATATTATTCTCTATATCAAATATACTTTTAAACAACATTATTCTAGTTTCTTTTGTTTAGTCTTTTCTTTGATTTGTAAAAAGTGAATCTGATAATATCAAGGGTATACGATTTAATTTACTGAGGACATACTCTGCAGTATTTGAACCTATGGTAGCCAGGTGGCTCACCATTGTCTGATATATCAATATTATTATTTCTTCAAGAAGTAAGAGGCCATGGCAGTAGTTTTTTTTATAAATTAGTATTCAAAAGTTAGCCAAAATAAGCATATGCGATTTGACCTAAACAAATTAGGTCAAACGAAGCTTATGACACTGAAAATTATCAGCCAGTTTTAGTATATTCAATGAATTTCGTGCCTTGGTTCATTGTGGACATCAGTTTTTGAAATCGTCCTAATTGATGACCGTGGAAGTGTCTTATAAAAAGGATTTTATTATTTAAATATACTCTATGCAAGCAAGAGCTAAATCCACCTATTGTCTTTCTTTGGGACTGAAATGTTATATAAACAATTAATTAGACCTTTATTAACATTAAAAGACCTTATTAATAAACTATCAATGCCATTTTATGTGTCGGATTTTCACTGGATTTGAATCCGAATTGCTGCTCAACGCTCATCGATGATTTAATCCCAAAATCGAGACTATATATTCTTTACCGATGATCAAGGCTAGGCCTAAAATTCAAACGCTAATATCTCGGTTCAGAGAGGAGAAATTTGACTGAAATCTTCAGCATATTCTAATTACATTAGTTATTATAGCGAGAACTGCCAGCTCTGTATCTAATCTTCCATAATGCCCCTTTAACACAAGAAAACAACAGCAAACAAATAGGAAATTATTCAACCAAAGGTTATGGAGGTATATGCTAAGGAATAAAGGATCGAGGATGGGCTTTTAAATATGACGAAGACACAGAGACTATTGTTTCATGATGTCCTCTTTTTTCTGGGATTGCGTTATAATGGTTATTCCCGGTTCACCGATCTATGTAGGACTGTTATGTCAAGGAAGCCTTTAAAGCAAAACCTTACAGCTATTTTCGTCAAAAAATATATATTCAGACTTTTGTGCGTATACCAATGTACTTTTTATATATTTTATATTGCTTTTATAGATATGTGTATAATTTTATACGTATTGTTGTTGTCCCTGTCCGCCCGGACGGCCGTCCGTCAGTTCACATACCGGACCCTAACTTCCTGAACTATGGCCCCTGATTGTACGAAAAATCGCGTTTTTATACGCCCACATTGAAATGTGGTCGTATATTGTCGTCGCCTCGTCCGCCCGTCCGTCCGATGGACTTTAAATTTATACACAGTGTTTAAGGTCATGAGACAAAGATGCCTGTTGATTTTCACCGATTTCCAGAGTTATTGCCCTTGATCACCTTTAAAAACCTTATGGACGCTCTAGAGTCTAAAGTCAATATCCGATTGACTTTAAATTGACTTTTACCGACTTCCGATAATTACTGCCAGAGTTATGATCCTTGATCACTTTGAAAAATCTGTGAACGCTCTAGAGGCTAAAGTTAATATCCGATTGACTTTAAATTTATACAGTGTTTAAGGTCATAGACGAAGAATCCTGTATTTCAACTATTTCGATAATTATTTTATATTTATAGACCGTGTTTACGCCTATATATAATTGTTTCGGTTGACTTTAGGTTGACACACATGTCTTGAGAAAAACAAATATATTGATTTTCAATGATTTTTGATAACTTGGGCAGCTAAATCCATGAAATTAAATGTTTTGTATACTTAATGTTAGTTACCATGGCATGTCCCAAACGAATTCTAATGATTTTTTTAATAATTACTTAATGAGTTGTTACTCTTAATCAGATTTTAGTGTATTGTAAATGTTTCATTGCCGACAAACGTAAAAATATGCGACAGCTCTTGATGACTACCCAGACAATTTATCTGCTGTGGGTGTGTGTTTCGTTGCCTGGCAACCGATTTCTTTAGCTTGTGGTCACTCTAGAGGTCACAATTTTTATCCGATTTTGAAAACCGTTCAAATTTATCACCGCTACACCCTAATGAAGGTTGAGTTCGAATTTAGTGCAAAACTATGTAATAGCAAGGCAGTGGACCCTCTAGAGTCACAATTGTTATCCGATTTTGATGAAACTTAAGATATATATTTATATCCCAAAGATCTCAGTTCCTTTGGATATTCGCGCACATCGGACAGTAACTTCCTGGATTATGACCCCTGATTGTACAAGCTTATGATCCCTTTTGATGTCACAATTTTTAATCCAATTTTAAAAACCGTTTAAATATATTAGCTTGTTCCCTGTCCATCTCTTGCAAAATTTGGGCGTATCTTGCATGACAATTACCGCTTGTTTAAAAATTTGTGTAAGCTGATGATGCCGTTTAAAATTTTCATTAATTGTGGATGATGATTTCCACAGTCATGGCTACATTAATCCATACACCTTTTTAAGTTGTCTATCTCATAGAAACGAAGACACCTATTAATATTCAAACTTTTTCAATAATCAATTCTAGAGTTAAGACCTCTTAATCTTACTTTATAGGCTACAATGAATAACTATCTTCCTGAAATTTACATTGGTTGTCAATTCCTTTGAAATGAAGAACCCTGTTGACTTTCTGCGATTTTCGATACTAGCTTCCCGAGTTAGGACTATTTCCCCTTGTTTAGCTCACTTAGGTTCGTTGCAACCCATGTTTATTCAACTCTGAGTTAATCTGAGTAAAGGGTGGGGGGGTATTGTTTCCTGTCGAGCTTCTAAATTTACCGAACAACCCTAATTAGAAGAACATGAACATTTTAATGGTTACCTCTAAACATAAGTAGAAAATCAGCTCTAAATTTGATTACAGTTAGCAGGAAAGAGGCGCCATGTTGAAACAGAACGAATGAGAGAATTTAGAGCAGTTGGTGAAGAAACAAGAATCCGGAGAAGAAAATGTCCACACGAAGGTTGTAACAAATGGTTTACCAGTAACCCAGGATTAAAATACCACGTGAATACACATTCCCCTACAAAATCATCTTATAAATGTCAAAATTGTTTCCGATCGTTTATAAGGTAGGACAAAAAATCTCCAAAACCTGGATAGTTCTTACTAAACGCCGTCATTTATATGCCCCAAATATATTTATATCAAGATTCACTATACACAAAAATTTATTGTGTATCTATTAATTAGTTAAGGATACATTATTCAAAAGCTAAATTTGCCTATTGTAGGTCTTTCTTTAGGCCTTAAATGTAAATTATTTATTGAGACATTTATTAAAATGACAAGACCATAATCAACTCTCGATGTCAAGATTTTATTTTAACTAGATTAGAACGGTTCGGCCATTTAATGATTTAATTTAAAAACAGAGGTCCGAGGTTAAGACTCGAATATACCAGTACCGTGGTTACGATAATAAACAATCAATGCATACATCTTGTCAAATCTACTTTGATAACATGGTTCAGAATAAAGTAACTAATATAGCAAGAACGGTCAGTTCTTTATCTAAATCTTACATAATGTATATGTAAAGATGCATTATTACTTTAAAGCAAGAAAATAAATTTAATTAAATTAATATAATATATTCAAAATAACTTTAGATTAGACTAATTATCACAAATCCAAGTACTCGGATCACTGTTGGCAATAAATTGTTCTTGTAACAATTTTGTCTGATAGATGAATATAATAATATAGTATTTATACTATGAAATATAACTGACCACTGGTTCCAGTTTAAAAGAAACTTATGTTAAATTACTTCAATATTTTAAATTGCAGTTTTAATGGTTTAAAATATCACAAAAAGTCTATATGCAAAAGACAATCAATATCTCCAAAACACAACCCAGATCCAGAACCAACGGTCAAGAAAAAAACAGGACCTGGTAATCATTTCTATATACTAATATTTTTTTTTTCATTGGCGAAATTAAAATGATTTTTCTAAAGCTAATATATGGTGACAATGTTTCCAAGGGTATCACTTTTGCCCAGTTTTCCCACGAAGAGTAATGCCAGTTAATAGAATTGGACCCAGTACCAACCCCTATAAAACACCATAAATGACGAACATATTACCTTCAAACGGTATATTAGTTTATATTACAATTTTACAATTATTAAAAATCCGTAGTCGTTATTACACAACAGTAAAGCTGGATTAATATTTTATTTATTTAGAACCTGCAAGACCAAAACGATCTCCACCCCAAAGACCTGAGGTGAAACCAAATCGTCCAATTTGTCGTTTTGATGATGACAATAGATTAAGGGATCTAGCTATTATAGCAACTGGCCCACAGAGTCCATTACTACAGAAAACATCTGTGACAGCTGCACTAAATACAGGGTAAGTAGACATTATCTGTATGCATTAATCTGTCTAGATACTTTCCAATTCGGCACATGAATTTCTACTTGACCAGTTTTGTATAATTGTGCTTCTTATTGTACCTCATAGACTTTTATAATTTCAGAAGTGAGAATGTAAAGCGAGCCTTAGATCTGAGTTGCAAACCCAAGAAATTACCCGAAGCTACAACAAGGTATTTAAAGTTTTTTTTGTTGTCTTTTTAAACAAGGAATGGTTGACTTATTTAAAAAAAAGATTTGATTCCACTTAAGTTACATTTGCTATATATTGTGATAAGGGAATTTCAAGCTTAGTAAAAACACTCCTTGTTTGATTTAGTGATAAACATCCATTGGGTATCAAGTCATGTGTACTTTTATATAACATAAAAGGTGAGTAATTATTATATACATGTAGATTATATTATATATTGCCTGGCCCTTAATAAAAAAAACAGGCTTTATTGTTGTAAGTGGAATTCTTTCTTTAAATATCGTATGTATATATCCATGTTTTTCAATTTAGATATGGACAACTTGGGGTTGTTAAAATAATATGAGAATGATTGTATAATTAACCACGGTGCCGGGTGTTCAAATTATTTTATTTCAGTCAAAGTGACGAAATCGTCCAGAAAGATATTAAACAAACATTTTTTCCTTCATCACCAACCATTGATTCTACTAGTGGTCATAGATTTCATTCCTGGCCTACAGCAGTGTGGCAATGTTTTCTAAAAGGTAAATACTATTAAAGGGCATCTATCAAGGCGCAAGTTTTTAAATAAACTGAAAATGATATCAGGTGTTCCAAAAAGAATAAATAGGTGTTACAAAAAACAAAACTCTACATGAAAAACTGTTGAAATTTATAATTACACGACTGACAATAGATATCAAATAAATTTATAATATCCATTTTTTTCAACAGGAACACTCCTTAATTTCTGCTCTGTTGACGCCAATTCAAGCAATACCTGGAACTTAGCTGAGGAATTGGCAGAGAAATATGAAATCGACAGAACAGCATCTAATATACATCAGCGTGATCTCAGGTAAAGGCAATGTCAATAAATTACCACTCTATTGCTCGTTGATCTGCATTGTTCATATCTTCTGTTAATCATTGAATACTTGACACATTATTGTATCATTTAATAAAACACTTTTATCACTTTTTATGATATAGACCTAATTTTAAATTACATGTCGTTTAATTATAGAAATAGAGACGTAGGCTTTAAAGTTCAAAATATTAAAATCTTCTCGAAAATAGTAACCCTATCCTTTCAACTAGATGACGATCGTAAGACTTTAGCCACAGCAAAATGTAAAATTGACCATCCATTCTTTGTCAAAGATAAAGGTAAGTATGACAGCCTGGTGAATTTCAATATTAAACCCTGTTGCTGCGTTATGATTAGTTTACAGTACAGTCACCATATCCTCATACATTATAGTGTTGAACGTTATTGGTTCGTTCGTGGTGCCAAAAGACAAAAACTCAAAGTATTCATTACTAATTTCATCGCTATATATTTATTCGTTAGACGACTTAAAACGTAAAGTATATACCTCATCCACGGATTAGGTGCATTTCTAATACCGTGGGGAACATACAATTTGGGTATAGTTCTGATGAGTAAAATAAAATATACAGGGGCAATAATAGATTAAATTGTTTTATACTTATAACAGTAGGTGCATTTCTAATACTGTGGGGAACATAGAATTTGGGTATAGTTCTGATAAGTAAAATAAAATATACAAGGGCAATAATAGATTAAATTGTTTTATACTTATAACAGTAATGTTGGATCTTTTTTCTTATGATTTTGCAGGTTGGTCTTCGTGTGATACCACACTTTCCAGTAATCATTATGGAATACCATGCCAAACCCTTGAAGTTAATGACCTTTGTTTACCACCCTCCCATCCAGATGCCACATTTTCTAAAGTTTATGATAAAACAACTAGGTGTGTTTCCTTTAAAACAAATGTTACTCGATGGATGGATGGTAGAGCAAAACAAAATATGTTTCAAGCATATTTTGATGTAAGCAAGTGGAATCAAATCTTTTGTTTTTGAAACACTAATTTTAAGAGTTAAGATTCTAACGCCTGGTCTACTCCTGTATACTAAGAGAAGTTGCTAATTGCGTTTTAACTTATTTCAGGAGGGGATTTAGCATGCATTTAAATGTGTTTCATTATATAATAACCGAGGTAAAACCAATAATCTAATATATTATTTATTTAGTTACAGTATGCCACTGTCTGCCACAGACTCCACAGCTGTTATAGCTTTAAGCAGTATGCAACAGGTAAGGTTTACTCGCGAGCAATGGGTGGGGTGGGGTGGACACTGTGTGTTTGTTTGCCACTTCAAAACACACTCGAATAGTTAAAATCAAATATATAAAATTAATCCAGAAATGGAGATAGTATTAAACCTATTTCCAGCCCTGAATACCAATGAGATCCGCCTGTCGTCAAATTCATAATAGATTGGCTTAAAAAAAAATGGCGTTAGAGATCACAATACAACTTTTGAAACAGTTTAGTTCCGCCTTGATTTCATTAATTTCCCCAATTTCCCCTTTTCTTTAAATCTTTAAAGGATATTTTGAATTCAAATGAGGTTAACGTGTAACTGTCTGCACCAACCGTACACACGCCATGTTATGTGTTATATGGTGGAAATGTACCACGACAACTGCCGGGGGATCATAAAACAATCAAAAGTAACTATATAACACATACATAAATCGTATTTGTGTCACAATTTCTTTTTATCAGAAAAAATACCAAGAACAAAAGTCTGGAAACTCTGCTCCAAATTCACCAAACTTACCCGATTCTCCAAAAGCTAAACGCCCAATGAATGGATTTATGTTATTTGCCAAAGAGAAGCGAGTTGAATACACACGGAAACATCCTGGAAAAGATAACAGGTATGCATCGCACTGGTTTGTAGTTGTCAGCTTATTGTCTATGACGAAAACTACAATTTAGAAATATTAAAACTACAATTTAGAAATATTAAAACTTCAATTTAGGAAATATTAAAACTGCCTTTTAAAATTATTAAAACTTAACTGAATGTGAAAATGAAAATGATTATATTTCAGAGCAATAAGTAAATTATTGGGTGAAGAATGGAAGGCATTGGATATAAAAGATAAGGAATATTATAAAGAGGAGGCAAAGCAACTCTCTAAACAACAAGTCAAGTTACATCCTGATTGTTGGAAAAGAAAACGCTAAATACCAGAAACAGCAAACAATAATCAAAGGTAAAACCTACCCTTTTTGAATTTTAACTGCCAGGGGCTATTTTATGTCTACTCTGACTTCTCGTTTTCGTCCTATCCGATCTGCTAGGGGTCTTTCCTTGTCCTAAGTCCTGACAAACTTAGTCGCCTCGACCAACTCCTGAACCTTCTGTTCAGTGAGTCAGTGTCTCAATGGACCACGTGGCTTCTCATTTTATTTTTGTCTATTGTATATCAAAAATATCCCCATTTTCTATCCAATTCATTGATTCTATCAAAGGTTTTATCAAACATTGTGATACTTTAGATCTATACATTATTTCTTTCTATCAAATATTTTGGTAGTTTTCTCGGAAAATTAAATCGTAGCATATATTTTTACATTTTTTCCAGAAAACTAATTGATATTTTTTTTTTTTTCAGAATTTTTTTTCAAGTGATCTCAAATCTTTACAAACTGCCAGATTACAACCCACAGGACAGAAGCCTGTTAAACTTAACATTCACTGCCATTTTATTATTATTGTTTATTTTTATTATTTATATTTTGGTATTTGACTTGGTCATCGTCATAACATGCATGTTTTATTAATGTTCAGTAGTCACCATAAGAATTGTTATATATACATTCAAATATTTAAAGATATATTATACCCTTGTTTTATTCAAATGATCAAACCCCATTTCTCTCTATCTATAACTTTTATACAGTGGCCCGCAGAGAGGGTGATGGCCCTGGGAAACCATATATCCAATGAAAGAGTGAAATTAAAATTAAGTTTTTATGAAATCTGAAATTACCACTACTTAATTTGAATTGAAAGTTTATTTCATTTGTATTTACATATATAAAATGTCTTCCTTTCTCACATTTCTGACTACTAGGCCCTATCCCTGAAAGGCATACAATAAAGGAGTTGGTCTGGGGAATAATAAAACCTCTGCAGGCCACTGGTTTTAAGAATGATATGTTATAAATAGTAACATGATTTCTTCTAGCTTTTTTGAATATTTTATATAGCCCGTATTGTTTTTAAAATATTTATAGAAATCATCTTAATTTGACCTTAAAAATCTAAAAAAAAAAAAAAAAAATCAAATTTGATTACTTTCTAGCTGGTCAATATTCTAGCAGAGACCCATTCTTTTTTCCAAAGGAAAAATACCAAAGTGCTATTATTGTTTTGAATATTATTTTGTTGAATTATTCATCAGTGCTCAAAAAAGGAGTAGAAATATTTTATAAAGGTTTAGGAGGAGAATAACATCTTATACACTAATATTTGTTGATATTATTTAATATTTATTTATGAATTGGATTGAGAATCTAAATATAAGAATATTTAATAAATTATTTAAATTAATTAAGTTATCTTTTAAAACTTCTATTACATAAATTCTGGTATATATTTCTTTAAAAGTAAATACAGTTGAATATCCCTTTATCAAAACATTTATTGTCAGTATTACCAAATATTTAGATTTTTTCATTAATACAACCAATTTACATATCTGTATCTCTACAGCATTTATAAGACTGCATGTATCTTGATATAAAGATAGATTGTTTATTTTACAAACTCTCATAGAAATTAGATGTAAATGTTCCGGAAGTCAAACATGTTATATGTAGAATACATAGTAAAAGAGGGGACTACTTCATGGGTTGGCCTATTTTGAATAATGCCAAATATTTTTGGTTTCTTTAAATTTGTTATAATTTGGTGTCGAGGAAAGCATTTATTTTGTGTAACATGTAAATCTACTATTACAAAGATTACAATTATTGCTGTTTATTTTTGATTGTTTGATTAGCATAATAGAAAATAATAGATATATCTTATTGTTATTAGTATATTATTACCTTCGGCCAAACCCATTTCATTTCCAGTTCTTCTGGGTGTTCCTGTCTTACTTAACCCAGTCGGAGCAGAACAGTAGGACGTTAAACCTCATTTCATTTCACTTCTTCTGGGTCTTAATAAATGAATAACGCACTCAATTCTTATGTGTGATGTGTTGTTACTATTTCCAATCATAAATATTTGGAACAAAAAGATTTTGGAAAGAGCCATAAGTACTTTTTGTTTTTAAGTCTGTATTGTTCATGTAGAAATTTGAGGAAGAATTTTCAGTAGGTGTTCACAAAGAACATAAATTTAAATGGGTGTGGCCTTCTTTCCATTTTAATTCAAAAACTTAGATTCATGGTAAGACTTATTATAAAGTATCTTCATATTATAGTTTTATAACTTGGGTCAAATGTAAAGTGTTATATATGGAAATACTGGGCATTGAAGCTTATTATGTGATGAATTCATATCATTGATATAATTTAATTCAAGAATCAAACATATATTAGTACTTATTTATTAGTTCCTTTCTGTCATTTTTCAATATCGACATTTTGTGGTCTAAGATCACTTTCAAATATATTTTAAGAATCTACTCTAATTTGTTATTTTCTATAGATCAATATTTAAATACACCCCCTGAAGATCTAACTTCTTCTTTGTCAGTTATAGTACCCTTTGGAATATGTCCTAAGCCATGTGACTGGTTAAAAACCGTTATTGCCAAAGGAAAAGCATCTCTTAACATTGGCCGCAGGCATGTCAAACAAAATTCATGTAGTGGTGGGGGTCTCTCAGCGTAGAAAAACAAGATGGGTTGTGGCATTCCTGTTGGCCAAATTGGACCATAAGGTCTGTCATTGAGTCAAGCGGCGTTTCGATTCCCTGCTTGTACGTGACAAGGTGTAGGGTCATCTGTCTAACTTTGTGGGTTTTCTCTGGGTTCCTCCCACTGCTAAAGACCCCTGTGTGGAGTGGATCTCTGCCAAATTGGAGGTAAGTGAAGGTCAAAATTTTTAAAGAAGTTGATAGAATTTACTATAGTGTAAATATTAACATAAAGGAAAGGAGTCTATGGCCTTTGGTCATACTTTGGTCATTTTCACACTTCAGACTAATATACTCTTGCTTTTTATGATGGCCATGATGCTAGGGTTGAGAATTCTGTCAGCACAGCTGCATGTCCATTTGCCCTTCATCAAATTTCAAATGTCAGAGTTTTTTTCAGCCCTACAATAACAAGTATCAAGAGGTGGAAACAACTGAAGCAATTCCACAGTCACTACCCCTGACAAAGGGGAACCAGGCTTGAAAAATCCTCAAAATTAACCCGACCCATGCTGAAATTTCAAGCATGGACTGCATAACTACCACAGCCCCCATGTTAACATTTAAAAAAAGAAACATAAGAACAGTGCAAGTATAATTAAACTGTTGCTGGTAAATACTTGTAACAATACATATGACAAATATTGATTGATTTTATGATACAATTTTACTATATATAACTATCACAGCTCTGATTATATTTAACATTGATAAAAACAACAATTTTTACATTTTATCAATATTGCCAATCTTCATAATAAGCCATACATTTACCCCCATAAATTTGATTTATTTATTCATTGTGTCATATCTATAACCCTATTTACATACCAATATACTCAGACTTGGGTTCAAATATAATCTATTCAATGAAAATTAATTTAATATTTTCATTACATCCCAATGATTTATTACTATACATTTAATAAATTACATTATAATTATTCATTGAAATGTAATCAATTACACTTGATGATTACTTGATAACCTTTTAACAACATTTCACCTCCACGTAATTTTACGCAATCAATTAGTGTTTACAATCAATTAGTGTTTAAGTACAGATTACATTTCATTACATACAAAATAGGAATCGCTAGCCAACGGTTACCCCAGGTCTGACTATACCTAATCAGTACATATACCAATAAACTGAACCATAATCCAAAGCATTTATAAAATATACCAGTTATTAGACTGTTACACCAAGAGTGATATATGACCAAATTTCATATCTAAAGATTCATCTAAAATACATAGATTATGTTTCAACCAAAATATCCCCACAAATTTTTGACAAAAGATTTTATTCATGTTAAAATATTACCCCTGATAACCCATGGATATATACCAATACTACTGCAGTATATATTGGCATTGTACAATGAATCATACCTAAGGTGTAAGCCATATATGCTAATAAGTGCTAAATTAAATGGATAAACCCCCACTGAATAAAGACAAAACCATATCAACAACATGTTTCATTAAGGAAACAAAAGCCAAAATAACTTTTAATAGAAAAACATGATACAAGCCATACCTATGGTTGTAAGTCATAAAGATGAAGATTTACATTATCATGCAAATAGCAAAGTAATAGATATGTTTGAACGGCTATTGTTTGTTGTTGTCAGTCTGGTATTGGCAAGCCTGGAAATAAAGCGACTGCCACAGACGTTGTCAGGCACAATTAAAGCTTTGTCAGGCACAGTTCCTCTGGAGCCTGTCACTTTGTGTGGCACAGATTTTTTAAAATTTTAATTGATATTCATAATACATGTCTAACTCAAAGCTCAAAATGTCAGGTTCATTAGTGTTTGAAATTTTGTCAGGTGCAACTAAATTCTTTATTTCCAAGCCTGGGTATCATCATCAATTTTAAAAGTTAAAACTTGAATCTCATCTGGATAATTAATTATGAATGATCTCTAAACAAATTGATATCTCAAAACCCTGATCTGTAAATAATCAGTGACTATAACAACTTCTTCAGCATTAAAACGCTTTATAAATGACGATATTATTATTATTATTATTATTAAAATGTTACACTGATATATAAAGTTTAACATTTCTCTTGACTAGTAATCAACTCAATTGACAATTAACATGATCTACACAAATAATAGTTATAAATAAGTTATAATACGCGTATTCAATAAAGCAATGAGAAAGCGATACTGGTGGTTTAAATAATCCAGAAAAAAAACCCTTCCAGACAGAAATATCACTATACAGAATGATTTGCACTACCCATGACACAAATAACAAACCAGCGGCTGCCAGGCAGAATACGCCCACATTTTCGAGAGATGGATAGAGAACAAGCTAAAAAGAAAGTGATTTTTCCTACAATCAAGGGCCATAATTCAGGAAATTATAATTCGATATGCGCAAATATCGAACGGAACCGAAATCTTTGGGTTATAAACTTACATTTCAAGTTTCAACAAAATCGGATAAAAATTGTGACCTCTATAGGGTCCACAACCTTGATATACCATATTTTTAAGCTATTTGAGAACAAGGGGCGGCCATTTTGTCTGTCAGTTTTCGGCCGATTTTCAAGAAATTTGAAGTTAGCCGTCCTTAGGGTGTAACGGTGATATAATAATACGTTTTTTTAAATCGGATAAAAATTATGACCTTTATAGGGTCCACAAGCTAAAAACGTGATTTTTCGTACAATCAGGGGCCATAATTCAGGAAGTTACGGTCCGATTTGCGCGAATATCGAAAGGAACCAAGATCTTTGGGTTATAAACTTACATTTCAAGTTTCAAACAAAATCGGATAAAAATTGTGACCTCTACAGTGTTCACAAGCCAAAAACGTGATTTTTCGTACAATCAGGGGCCATAATCCATGAAGTTAAGGTCCGATAGATGCCAATATCGAAAGGAACCGAGATCTTAGGGTGATAAATCTTTATTTCAAGTTTCATTGAAATTGGATAAAAATTGTGACCTGTAGACTGTTCACAAACAATTGTGGACAGACGGACGGACGGGTGCGACGACAATATACGTCCACATGAAAATGTGGGCGTATAAAAAGTTGAAAGAAAACATATCCGCTCATGGCAACGCAGTTTCTTAATCTAACCACAGTCAAGTAAAATGATTGTTTGTAGTCTGACTCCTATGCCAAAATTAATTCTATTAATTTCTAAGCGTTTGATTGGATTTCGTTGGAAAAACTCATTTGGTTTTGAATTGTTAGTTTTGATTTATATAGAATTACAGCTATGAAGTTTGTCTACAACAAAAGATTACATTTACACTTAAAACTTGATTACTTACACACAAACCTTATCACTAAAATCATTAAAACAAAAACTTAATATCTAATCACCATGCATACTTATTTTACAACTAAAACAATTTGTGTTATTAATTTGCCAATACTTAAATTAATTTAAATTTTGTGAATTTTTTTTTAGTAATGCTAATAGTTCATATAAACATGATATGAAACCAAATACATGTATTTAAATTGTATTTTAATTACACATAATCAAACTGTATTTTAATTACACATAATCAAACTGTATTTTAATTACACATAATCAAACTGTATTTTAATTACACATAATCAAACTGTATTTTAATTACACATAATCAAACTGTATTTTAATTACACATAATAAAAATTGTATTTTGATAACACATTATTCAATCAAACTGTATTTTAATTACACATTATTCAAATTGTATTTTAATTACAGAAAAAAAGCTATCTTACAGGTGCATGTGTTGATCATACACAATTCCAAAAGCTGTACCTTCTTGGTTACATCAGTAATTATATATACTCTGAACATCTGTACAGTATTTATATATACTGTTTATACAAACACTAACCTAAACAACCAGATCCCCAACTCATAAAGAATTTACTAAAAACAACCTTTAACCCTTTGGCACCCCAGTTCCCTCAAAAAATTAGAGAAAAGTTTGTAGCACACATCTGCCACTACTGCTCCCTAGACAGTCGCTTCAGTATACAGTCCTTAAAGATACATTATGTAAGAATTGGATAAACAGCTAGTTTTTCTTGCTATAATAGTTCCAAAATAAATAATGAAAAATGAATATATTAAAAACATCATTCAAATTACTTTATTCTGGGTGGAGTTATCAGTGCTGGAAGATGTACCGTAGATCGTTTATTGTCATTGCAATGGTACAAAGTCTCAATTATCCATTTTCTCATTACATTTTTAAATCTCTTACATAATGTATCTTTAAATAGGTTACACTATAAATGTTATGTTTCAGGCACCAGGGAAAGTAGTAATCGTAGAGGGTTTGGGCGGGATAGGTGCTAACGGGTTAGTATGCTTGTAAAAATATTTCACTTAGGACAATTTCAATGCCAAAACAGGTCTGTGTTGCATTACATTTTCAAAACTTTTAAAACAGCAAAATTACAGGTTTTCAAATGTTTATAAATATTTTTTGTTCTCTGGATATGGATTTAGGATCTGGAATGCAAAACTTGCTGCCCTTAAATCATAGTTTGATTGTATACAATGTGAATTTGATGTTTTACAAAAAGGGAGGAAACTTATATAATCTCTAGAACTTCTAAACAAATAAACTCAATCAAAACATAAAAACAAATATCAGAAATAAAACGAAATGAAATTGACATTTTACTTAAATTAGATTGGGGCATACACTACAATAGTGTGTCCTGGATTTCTGAAGAGATGCCAGGTGTGAGACACAATAAGATATTTTTCAACTATCATCATTAAAATTGTTGATATCAAAGGAGGGCATAGGGCATGTTTTTGACAGCGTAAAAGTTTTTGACTACTGCCCCATGCCCCCTCCCCCACAATATGCCACTCCTGGATAATACATACATACAGTACATACAAAATATCAAATTACAATATTTAAATACTCTATTTTCAGTGTAATCTCAAAAATAAATAAAAATAATAACATTAACTTAAAAAAAAAATGTTGGCTGAACATTCTCGACGGATGAAGTATGCATGAATGAAAATTTAAACCTTCTCTATTGATTTTTGTTGAACTTTGATATGTAGGTTGATGACATGCGTTAAAACTTCATCAACCGGAGTATTTGGCCCAACTTTAGATATGGCAAGAAGTAAATATTTCTTTAATTCCATACAAAACGTTGCATCTGAAATGAAATAAAAAAAAGTTTTTTTTTAAAATTCACTCAAGAGGATCTGAATATTTTTCACCGTGCCAAAAAGGACGTAAAATTGACAAGCATGACCTTAGTTTAACTTAATTAAAGTTAAATAGTACCTTTTTTGGCTTGGTACATGTATCTTACTTTTTGTCTTTAGTTACAAGATAATTAACTATTACATTTCCTCATCCACAATGATTGTCTTACATAATGTATAAAACAGCTTTCAGTAGGCCCATTAATAAACATAAGAAAAATTGTAAAGGATATAAAAAAACCCAACAAATACATATCCGAATGAAAGTTTTATATCCAGAATAAAAGGTTGAAGTTGATGAAAATCTTTACAGACCTTTATATTAAGGCAATAAAACAAACTAATGAAGCAAACGGTTTAACCAATTTTTGGCATAAAACAGTTACCATACAAAATTTGATATAATTCATTCTTGTACCTCATTAAACAATCACAACATGTTTTAACAGATTTTGTCAAGAGTTTTGTCCTTTTATTAGTTGGAACGTAAATTGGAAGACAGTAATTTGCAATCAAAATATTCTTAAAGTCAATAACTTTGTGCTGTAGAGTATTCACAAGAAATTGTGGTTGGATGCCGGATGTGGGTTATAAAAATAACCTAGTCAAACCACATTCCTGCTCTCTACCTAGTATGTTAGCTCAGATACAAACAACCCTGTATTAATAACATTGCATAGATTCTTCAATGCACAACTGTTACTGTATTGACCGAGTGACCAGTTTTTCTCAAATATATCATTCACTTACCTTCAACTGCTTTACTTAACCTTTCATCAATCAGACAATCACCAATAAACTGACAACTTAGTTTTTGGGTAGATAACTCTGGATTCTTTTCAAATAATTTCACAACACTCTTTATTGAGCCTTGAATCAACTCATATGCAACAGATCTGTAAAGAAAGAACAATAAGCCTACTTACAAAAGTACAATGAAATTGATTGTGATCCCACATGGCATAATATGATAAATATTGCCCACAGTCATAACAGAATCTTATTTGAAGCAATGATTTTCCCTGACCGGAGAGGGGAAGTGAAATGGGGTTTAACGCCCACATGACACAAACTAGTTCATTTTGGGACGAACATAGTGTTTGATTATATTTCAATAATTTGCTTGCAGTGAGAGAAAACCGTAGGACCCGGAGAGAAAACCGTAGGACCCGGAGAAAAAACACAAAGTTCGACAGGCGAACCTACTAATTGTCACGTACAACCGGGAATTGGAACCACGCCAGTTAACTCAATGACATGCGCTAACCATTCGGCTATCCATACCCCCTTCCCCGATTGGTTCTTATGATGCTTACAATTTGGTAATTTTTAAAAACTACTGTCCATTCACTTGTATTTGTCAGCGATATCACTCTGGGTTAAAGTGGATGTTTACCTCTATTATATACTTCTACATAAAATTGTAGAAATTTACCTGTATCTTACAGCATCAATAACAGAAATAGCAACAGATGGATCCAGATCCATTAGAGTTATCTCCTCTTTGTACTGATTCTTCACAAACTCTAATAATGCTTTAGGAAATTTGTTATTTGTAAACATTTCTCTGATCGGTTGACCTATGAGTTTTAAAGCTACAGATTCTTCCCCATCAAAGGCAAGGGAACAAACATGGCATACAATCTGAAATTTAAGGAATATTTTTTTTTTATAACTTGTAATTTAGAATTCTACCTGCTTCATTCTCTATATATATATGTATCACTGAATGATCCCCCATACATGTATGTACGATTGTTGTAATATAAACAGCTGTAATTTGTAGAATTTGTGATTCACACACGACATGTCAGTGGAGCTAAACAGAGGGCCTGACAAGGGTGTCTAGTCATCTGGATGGGATTATAAACCGAGGTCCCATGCACTTGTTTACCTGCAAGTAAAAGAACCCTTGGCAGTAGAAATTTATCCAAAAGTAGACGGAAACGCCGCTGTTCGGACAAAAGTTTCCTCATGGCACCCTGCATGACGTGTACCCGTCATCATAAGGCCAGTTGGTGCAGAAAAGTAAGAAATTAAACCCATTTTATTTTTCACATTGTTAATTCATACTTACCACCGATTTCAATAACTTGTTCAATATCTTAATATCTGAATTGGATAATTTGTCACACCTTAATTCTATAACTTCACGTTTATTTACTATGTCTTTTTTATTCATGTCAGTTATAACAGATTCATTATTTTCATCTGTCTTATCACTTATGCCATTAATATGTTTCGAATTGTCTCCCATCTCAAGACTGTCTTTAGTTTTTAGTGTTATATCCAAGAGAGAATCACTATCCAAAGCTTTTCCTGTGTGTGGATCATAAAAAACTCTTGAACACACTTCGATACCACTTTCATCTGCAATTGTAGATGTATCACTAACAGTTGAAGACACCGAAGATAAGAAATCATCTTTTTCGTCAAATTGTACTCTCCTGTCTGGTGTTCGTAGGTTTTCGAAAGATCGTGTTCGTTTTAAAATACTGGTTAATGGTTCATCTTCTTCCCTTTCTTCATCACTAAGTTGATTTTTTAAGTCGTTTTCTAAACTCTGTTCATACCACTGACTTTTTCTCTGTCTGCAAAACAAATAAAAAAGAAATGAAATGAAATGGGGTTGAATGTCCTACCGTTCTGCTCCAATGGGGCTAATGAAGATGGGCATACGCCATACAGTGTGCTATAAAGGAAATTTTCCTTGGGCAGCGACACCATGGCGTGCTCCAACGGGGCTAATGAAGATGGGCATACGGCATACAGTGTGCTATAAAGGAAATTTTCAGGGCAGCGGCACTATGGCCTACTCTTATATCGAATTCCAACGGCTAAGGTATCTTTAATGTGCACGCCAATGTATACACTGGACCTCAGCTTTTAGTCCCATTCAAACGAGTAGACAGCTGTGCTTGTCAGGCCTTCCCTCCTGCAACACCGATAAGGGGAAAATCTCAATGAATTTTCTCAGCCAATGCAGGGATCGGACATTACACATCCAGGCTAGCAAGCCAGCACATAACAACTTTGAACGATATGTACGGAATTCTAGTAACATAACTGAGTTTAAGCGAGGAAGTCTAGTAACATAACTGACTTTTAGTGCGGAAGTCTAGTAACATAATTTACTTTAAGAGCGGAAGTCTAGTAACATAAGTTACTTTAAGAGCGGAAGTCTCGTAACATAAGTTACTTTAAGTGCAAAAGTTTAGGAACATAAGTTACTTTAAGTGCAAAAGACTAGTAACATAACTTCACTTTAAGTGCAAAAGACTAGTAACATAACTTCACTTTAAGTGCGGAAGTCTAGTATCATAACTGACTTTAAGTGTGAAAGTTCGGTAACATAACATACTTTAACTTTAAGAGCAAAAGTCTAGTAAACTTACTTTAAGTGAGGAAGTCTAGCAAAGACATACAGAAATCTTCTCCCTTCTCGCTTTACACCTAGATCTGTTGAAAAGTTCTTCATGGCTTCCTGTATTATACTGGTACAACTCCAGCTGATAGTATCTAGTATTACTAGAAACTTGTCTAATCCTTGTAATATATCTACACTACATTCACAATCTACAAAACAAAATAATATCATAAACACATATATAAATCACTATAACTTTCAAACACTGCTTATTCTCTTTCTGCAATTCTAAATGGTAACTAGATTCAGACCCAGTAGATTCGTCATTTGTGTTCAACAACATCCTGATCAAGTATTTTTCTACATTAGTGATTGGAACAATACAATAACTGGAGAAATTATCTAATTTGTATTGTCAATTGTTTTTCGAAAAGGAGAAAAACCAAATGGGTTTTATATGTCTTGTTAATAAAATACTTTGGTCATATAGAGACTAGCAAAACATTATATGTTGTGTATACTCAGTCAAATTATCAGTGTCCAGGTTTTTTTTTATGTGCACTACGTGTTCACAGGTGAATTCTTTTTCTTTTTATCCTATCTGAATCACGAGGAAACACTTTACTTAGGCACTACCCCTGACAAGAGGGAACCAGGCTTGTAAACTCCTGAGATTCTGCTCAGCTCATGTCAGTTTTGAAGTAAACTTAGTCCATGTCAGTATTTATAGTTTTGCTTTGAAGCAAACTTTGCCCATGTCAGTGTTTATAGCTTTGAAGCAAACTTAGCCTACATGTATATTCAAAGCATGATTTAATATCACACGTTTTGTAATAGTTCACGGTAAAGTAACAGATGACCTACCATCATCTATGACCTGACTAGCAGTGTCATACAGCGTTGTACTTAGATTAGATAAGACACGACACCCAGACTGTACAATCGTGAGATTCTTAGCATGATGTTGTATAGATAGCGAGATAACTTCTATACCACCTTCATGTAATGGAGGCTGAAATAAAAAATGAATTAAAATTCTTTAAAGCAGTTGTTCACTCTCCGAGTTCATCAGGGAAAGGGATATTGATAAGTGAGAGAGATTAATGTCCAGTCAATACAAACTAGGTCATATTGGGACTAACATATGTAAAAAATATTTTCTTCATTTCAACACTTTACATACGTACAGGGGACTATTGCAGTAGCAGGAAATGGTTAGGTGGGCGACCAAGCCCAGAGTTAACAAAGCATTCTCAGACTTAAGAATTTATTTAACTTTCAATCACCATTTATGAGAAAAATGTTTGATCCAGAAACACAAATGTTTGCACATTCTTTCTTATTTATGTACTTGATACATTAAAACAACAAAAGTTTTATAGGGGGCTATATTCTAGTTAAAATAAGGCAAACAGTTTTGAGTTAATTCTGAACTTAAGTCTGAGATTGCTTTGTGAACTCAGGGCTATATTTCTTGTTACATACATGCACTGACACTGGGACCCCTTTATACCTTTTTAATTGGAGAGAGAGAGAGAGAGAAATGGGGTTTAACGTTCACTCGACACAAACTAGGTCATTTCGGGACTAACATATGATTTAATTTTATTTCAATAATTCGCTTGCGCGTAGGGGTCTTTAGCAGTGGGAGGAAACCGGAGGACCCGGAGAAAACCCACGAGGTTGGACAGGCGACCCTACTCCTTGTCACGTACAACCGGGGATTCGAAACCACGCCAGTCGACTCAATGACAGACTGTATGATACAGCGTGCGCACGCTAACCATTCAGCCATCCAACCCCCCTTTTTAATTGGAGTTGTCAATAAAACTCCAACATGACAGCATATAAGGTTAAATTCAGAGTTTAAAATAAACATTACCAAAAGACCTTTCATTTAAATTTAGAATATGAAGAAACAGTTTAAAAGTATTTTTATAATTGTTTACCTTTTCCGTAATATCAGGTTTAAAAGTGGCTATTTTGACTAGAATATCCAGCCCAAACTGTTGAACGTCTGTTTTGTCGAGGTATGCGGTCATACTGCCGAGAATAGCTGCCACAGATTGATGATATATCAAAGCTGGGAGATTATCTGGTACGTGACTTATAGCACGTAACAACTGTAAACATAATACAACATGAGACAACGGATCCTGAAAATATACAAAAACATTCAAAATAGTACTTAATGATATTGGTTGATTTTATCTTTATACTTTGTCTTGTCCGCAGGTTTTGTTTTATCGGTTTAGTTTGTGTTTAGTGCAGTCTTCCTGCACTTATTGTTATAGGAAAGTTTTGTTTTTATAATTTATAACTTTGAATGGGGTTCTGCTAATTCCTCTCTCATATTTTCATGATTGGATATAGGCTAGGACTCAAACAAAATGGTTAATTATCAATTAAACAATCTTATAAACTGCAAATATTTGGATAAATAAAAATTCCCAACCAAGTACCCATGACACAGAACAATAATAATAATCATGGCTCCATGATTTGGTGTCCTTAACAGATGATATAAACAAACACCAGCACCATCTATAAAATTCTTGGATAAAATTTTTTGATGCCAGGATATTATCTACCGTTGATATTTTGGTTTTGCTTCTTTAATTAAGTGTTAAACAAGCGTTGATTACAGCCTTAAAAATTAGACATTATCCAAAAAAGCGCCAATCTGGTTAAAACACAGATCCTATTTCATTTTGTTTTTATAGTTCAAAATTTCGTTTTACTTGTCTTTACTACACTTGGATCTGGAAGAGTTGTTATTTAACTCGTGTTCTGAAAGGTGTCGGAGATAAGCCAATGAAACGGTCTGTTACGGCGAGCTTTAGGCGTGTTTTTCACGGAACTGTGGGTAATCCACTAGTAACATCAATGCTGATTGGTTAATCAAATGTCTGACGTCATAGGGTCATAAGTCGGTCTTTTGACCCCTGACGTGACCTATCGCTATAAATTGTCAGATCTTCATGTAGTGTAGGCCATCGAAAGTATAAAAAAAACGAAACAAAATATAGATCTGTATTTTAATCAGATTGAAAAAGCGCATAATCAGGATGGGTGACTTTAATTTTTTGGTCTTACAGTATTATATGAGATTTGTTAGGATTTTAAAATAAAACTTCAAAATCAAACGTACCAAAAATTGTTTCAATATTTCTACTAACAAATAAATAATAGGAGTATGGAATGGCTTTCCTTTTTCTTCTTCGGGAGTATCGGCTAACTCTTTAGCGAATTCACGTAGAAAACTTTCTAAAATATCTCTCCGATGTACAGCTACATCTTGAAATGTTTTAAAAATTTGGTCAACTAGGATAGGATTTAATTTGGTATCTGTGAACAGGTGAACCTGACGATTGAGGTAACTTGCTGATAAATTGGCAATCTGGAATAAAAATAACAACTGCAAAAATAATCGGAAACTTGATGGTTAGCAATCTGTTTTAAGAAGTGTGTGGGGAAGCCATTTAAAGGAAATGAAATGACATGGGGTTTTAATGTCCTAGTGAACTGCTCCTATACTGGGCTAATGAAGACGTGCATACGTCATACAGTGTGCTATGAGGGAAATTTTGCCTGGACAGCAGCACTACGGCCTACTCTTACATCGAATTCCAACTGCCACAGGATCTTTTATGTGCACGCTCAAAGGTCTTATAATTAGTTGTTACTTGTTTTTGTATATAAACCGTGCATGCCAATGTGTACATGGGATCACAGTTTTTCGTACCATCCGAACTGCTAGACAGCTGTCCTTGTCAGGCCCTCCATCCTGCACCACCATTCAATGGAACAAAATCATAATATGGAAACTATTATAATTAAAGCGATGTTTTGCTGAGCGTTCTCTCAGTGTTATCAAGCAAGTAATTACAGTGTCGTGATAAGAACATTATGCCTAAAGTGAACTGAAATGAGGTTTAACGGCCTACTGTACTGCTCTGACTGGGCTAATGAAGACAAGCATATGCCACAGTGTGCTATGGGGACAATAAATTATTGTGCCTAGACAGCAGCACAACAGCCTTTTTTTATATCAAATTCCAACTGCCAAGGGATCTTTTACGTGTACGCCAATGTGTACACGGGACCTTCACGCTCAAAGGCCTTATTGGGTAATTAGTTGTTACTTGTTTTTGTATATAAACCTTCACTATATTATATTCATCATCATTTGTTTGATAACGCTGAAAGAATCCTCAACGAAACACCACTTTGATTAAATTAGTAATACTAATTGTGTTGCATATAATGTGTTTGTGTTTATTACATGTGTCAATTTCTAAATGTCACTCAAAGAAGATGTTATGAAATTGCCTCCCATGCAATACCATCATCCTATACACAGGGTTGGGTTGTGGTTAGATGTGTACATGTAGCAGAGAATTATTGTATATTGATCAATGTGTGCCATTTAATACAACCAATAGTTTCTATATGTTGCACAAAATAAGTATATTATAATTATAAAGAGAATGCTAAATAATACCTGTTCAGGAGTCTGTAATTGACAAATAAGTTCTTCCTCCATGCTAGGTGGATGAGCTAAACACCATTCTTCAGATAGTCTTTCTTCATCATTTAATACTAATTCACTCATTACCTACAAAAAAATATTTTCAAAATTTTAACATTTAATATCTTCCAATATCTACAACGTTGAGTCTAACCAGGGTTACTCTCTCAGATGAAATGGAGAGAGAGAGAGAGAGACAGAGAGAGAGAGAGAGGATGGGGTTTAATATCCACTCGACACAAACTAAGTCATTGCGAGATTAACACATGGTTCTTTAGTAGTGGGAGGAAACCGGAGGACCCGGAGAAAACCTACAGAGACTTAATTGGTTTCAGGCTGCTTAGGAATATACTGTTACCTTGGGTAAGAATTATATAATTTAGTCTAATTTTCTTGAAATAACCAGAGTTATTTAGTACAAATACAAAATGGTAAATTTTCCATATATCCTATGACGAAATCCATCAATAACAAAGTATCTGACCTTATCTGGTGAACTGTCTTCATCAGGTGATCTTGTAGGTTTATCTGGTGGGTTAGTTCTAACATGAACTCCAGGTGTAGGAGGTAGATGACGTCTATGTCTAGGTATAGGACCATCTATAAATTCCAACAATTTATCACCAATTTCTATCTTAGAACCTAAAAAATGTGAAATAACATACTATAACCAATAGAAATACTTCATTAGATTTCACACTGTACAATCTTCATGACCAAACTTGAGTATCAAATTTTCTCTTCTATCCTTGGATGGGAGATGGGAACTATCCAGTGCCCAGTGGTGCAGTGTGGTGTTTCTGAAGTCCAGGCCTTAAGTTTGCAGTACCCATCCCTTGATAAAATCATATAACACAGTTAAACAAACAGTATCCTTTTACTGCTCTGACAAAAAAAAACAACTGTTTTTTAATGTAACAGATCAAAAGTGTTGCCACTACAAAACTGCCCCTTTTGCCCTCTATACTTTTATTTCCTCCTGAATGTATCAGACCACAAAAGATACCAGTCTTATTAAATCCTTGACTCTAGCCATAACCAATTTGAACATAAATATGTTACCTGAATTTTCATAATTTCTTAATTTAGAGTACCATAATCTGATTCTGAAATGGCTGTATTGCTGTTTGTTTCAGAGTGATGTAGGTTATAATTTAACATTAAATACAACAATATACTAAATCGAAATTAAATTTAATATTTTTGTTGTTCCAACAGCCTGACTCTTAAAAAACACTATGACTCAATTGTGAAACCAAAACTATCCGTCACTACAATAGATAAATATCTACATTATTACCTGTTATAAGATTAGTTTCTGCTGTAATAACCTCATCATTGATTAAACAAGGAAGGTCTTTGGTACTGGGTGTTAGAGATGAACCTTCTGTCTGCCATATGGTTAATACAAATAATGGTAAACAAATATCACTTTCCTCTGCCCATCGTTGACACCATGACAATTTCTCATCAGTTGTCAGACCTTTATACGTCAGAAAAAAACAATGTGGTTATCACATGAAAATAGTGATGAATTTGAAGTGTACTAAAGGCTGACAATACAGGAGAATGATACAACATAATTAGAAAGGGGAAGGAAGTTATTCACTCATATATTTGACAAATAACCGTGATAATCAGAATCATGTCATGTCATTATTATATACTATTACTCACATTGAATGCTGATTTTACTTTCAAATATTTTTAGGCATTATTCAAATGCTATTTAATTCAATTCAAATGATCAATCTTTTTTCTTTTTTTTTGTATACATGTATAATCAAATTTCTAGAAATTATAAAGCTTTCAAATCATTATCATTACATTCCATTATCTGTTTGTGTATTTTGGGATATTAGCTGATTGCATTGAATTAATATTACTAAAGTATATGAGACAAATAACAGACTAATTTCCATTAGTTTTAATTGACATGGAAGAAAAAATACTAAAAATTCAGTTCAAACAGACTTTGAATTTGAATATTAGAATATTTTTCTGGATTCTATAATATTCTTATCATTTTTACAATATTCAATTTTTAATCATTCCAAATGTTTTTTCCCATAAAATACACATTATGCGAAACTGTGCCAATGAATATAATATAGTTCTAATATTAAAAATAATACAATGCATAATTTCTTATCAGTTCAAATGTTTAAAAAATTTTTTTTAATTTTTTCCACTCAAACCATTATGTGAAACAGTGCAGATAAACAATAATTCACTGTATCACAGTATTTAAAGATAAATTGTCTCAACAGTAGAGAAACTAAATACATAAACACTGATTCGAAAATATATTCAAACCACTGACAAAAATATATTTCTTGCTAAAAACATTACATTTCATGAGCTACATGTATGAATGTAAACTTTTATTCAATTTCAAATTCCTGTGTTGAAATTTAAGGATTTATGTCTTATTTCATTTATTTTGAGTTTTCTATGGACGTTCATAAGAGATATCAAATTGTTAGTTTAAAATAAGTTTTAAGGTTACATAAGATGACATAATTAACCTTGAGGGAACATGTCATCTTTAATGCATCTAACCCACTATCTAAAAGAAAAAATACCTCCTTGCTTAATACCTAGCTGATTCTGAGGAAGAAATTCATTTTTTGTACAATCTTATTTTTTTTCAATTTAGCAAATCCAAAATCACTTATGTCCGTGCTTACAGTTTGATCTTTTACATTTCATCATAGCTGAATAGGTGTGAATATATTTCACTGAAGCAAGCATTGTTGTAAATTTAACATCAACGAAAGTCATGATTAAATAATTAATGTGTTATATATCAAACAAACCATACTATGCTTAATGATGGTGTGTGATCAAAACAGATCAATGCCTAACTTATTGGGGATTTATTTAACATACATTATGCAAGAGCTAAATCTACCTATTGCAGGTCTTTCTCTGGGCATGAATTGTTATCTAAATTATTAATTAGACATTAATTAACTTATCCAGACCATAATCAACTCTCAATGTCATCGGTAGTCTGCGATATTTACTGGATTAGGATCCAATATGTTGCTCTATGCTCATTCATGATTAAATCAAGAAATGGATAATCGAGACCATGTATTTTATCGTACCGACTTTAGTAATGATGATCGAGGCTAGGCCCAAAATTTAATCGCTAGATTATTGGTTCAGAGTGGACCAATTTGATTGAAATTTTCAGCAAACTCCCTTTACATTATCTAGTTTTTAACTATCATAGTGAGGGAGAGAGAGAGAGAAAGAGAGAAATGAGGTTTACTGTTCACTCTACACAAACTAGGTCATTTCGAGACTAACAAGTAACATGTGGTTTAATTTTTTTTCAATAATTCTCTTGCGCGTACATGCAGGGGTCTTTAGCAGTGGGAGGAAACCGGAGGACAGGCGACCCTACTCCTTGTCACGTACAACCGGGGATTCGAAACCATGCCAGTTGACTCAATGACAGACCTTATGATACAGTGCGCACATGCTAACCATGCGCCATCCAACCCCCCTATTATAGTGAGAACTGCCAGCTCTTTATCTAATCTTCCATAATGTATCTTTAAGTACCATATATTATGAATCCTATCTGAAGCTCAATTGACCTTACTATGTATTAAATAACCTGTTGATATATTTACGACCGAACTACCATCTGCAACCAATTTGATCAATTAATAAAATCATGCTAATACAATCAAAATGGAAGTGTGTCCTAAATTTTGAGCAAGAAACATCATTGATTTATTTAAAGCAAATATTAATGTAAATGTTTACTTGACATTAACAGATGAAATAAGTAGATTTTGATTATTACAGACTACTTATTTTAACCTAATGTCTGAAACAGGTGACAGATTGTTGAATATATTTCAGCACAGAAATTTCTCCTGTACATATAAATGTATTTAGAAAAACTCTTATCAAATATATTTTGTAACTCAAGAACACAAGTACACTAAATATTCTAATCTCAATTTAAAGATTTCAAAAATGGCACATTTAGTTCTGTGTAATTAAATAAAATGAAACTGATGAATTTGCCTTTGATGATGGTAATTATAACAGCAGCAAAAATTGTAGAAGAAAAAGAAACCACATTCAACAATTATATTTTTAATTACATAATGTATAATCCAAGTGCCACATGATTTGTAAGTTTGTCTGGAACTTTATTAAGATGTCATCATGGTTCCCAATAATACATTGCATTGGAGAAATTTTATTATGCTGAATATAAACTGTTTCATTTTGTAAATATGATCATCTTTTGTGAAGGTTGACGTTGGTTGTAAATAAGAACACCTGATTGACAGTTCTAGGGAATGATCATTGTTTGGAATGGATATAGGCACTGGCAGTAAACCTACTGCTTTGAAATGCTTTGATAAACATAATCCCCAAAAGAGAAATCGTAGAATTCCTTATGACTGTGTCTGTACCTACTATAACTAAATGTGGCCAATGATTTTCAAAAAAATTATTGGATTCAGAATGTCGAATATAATTTGCAATTATAGACCTGTCCTTGCATTTTATGGTCGAATTTCCAAAAGTCTCAAGACTTTCGTGTACCATACGATACACTGGCAATTGAGTGAAGATTCGAGTGACACTGAGTGAATGACAATGACAGCGAATGCAAATCTCTAAACTTACCGACAGTAAATTCATTGGGTCCTTGCAAAGTAATTGTTTCTTCTGTAGTTAGACTCTTTAAAGAGACGACTTTCTTTCCGCCTGATTCATCCATTGTAAAATTAACAAATGACAAACGTTTAAAGCTACATTTCTAAATGGTAAACAAGATGTTAGTAAGTACATCAAAAATAAATTATCTATCAAACTAGTCACGTGCCTAATGTTTTGATGTCTGAATTTGATCTTTCGCGACAGGAGAGTTTTTTTGCAGTTACCTCCCTTTACTTGCCGAAGCCCATATTTTTCTTCACATGCCCGGGATATTTTCTCAATAGACTGTGTATATGACGGCATACGAGAGGGATATAATTTTAATATACACCATAAAACCTGATTGGCGCTAGCTCAGTTATTACCAGGTAGCCGCCAACCTTTTCCCGAGAAAGTACATGTATATGTCTAAATTCTCCAATGAGGTTTCCCCTTCCCAAGTGGTGCAGACGGAGGACCTGGCAAGGAACAGTGTCTAATCATTCGGATGGCACGAAAAACCGAGTTCCAGTACACGTGTTCACGTTGGCGTGCACGTAAAATAACCCGTATAGGTCATAGCCATTAAATTCAGTAGCTCTACACCACGAAGATTTTATGTAGAGACATTTTCATGGGTTTTTTTTTGGTTTTTTGTTTTGTTTTATTTATTTATTTATTTTTTTTTATTTTGGGGGGGGGGGCGAATGGTTAGCGCGTGCTAATATATGTAATTGAGTCAACTGGCGTGGTTTCGATTCCCAGGTTGTACGTGACAAGGGGTGGGGTCACCTGTCTAACACCGTGGGTTTTCTCCGCGCCCTCCGGTTTCCCCCCACTGCTAAAGACCCCTACGCGTAAGCGAATTATTGAAATAAAATTGAACCATGAGTTAATACCGAAGTGACCTAGTTTGTGTTGAGTGGACGCTAGCAATGTGACATTTATTCCCATAGAAATCTATGTTTATTTCTTTTTATTTACTATGAAAAATGTTTTAATTCGTGACGTAATTCTATCGTGACGTCAACCTTTGTAGGAATTTCAAGGTAAGTCATTCCAGTTTTCTAAAAAGATTAGACGATCGAATTATTAAGTTATGTAAGGAAAAATGAAAATGGCGCCGCTGCCGTTGTTAACCGCTCTACAAGAACCCAAATACAAATCTTTCGTAGACACGAAAATAGGGAACCGATAATGTACAAAATATACATATAGACTGTCCTTAGGAAATGGGAACTAACATAGCTATTATCTATTTTGTTGTGAACTTCTTGTCGGTTTCGTTATTCGTTCGTTATACGTGTATTGCGGTCCACTTGCATTTACTACTAGATAATTTAAAGTTGCAAATCCAGTTTACTCCATCCCCAAAACGAGTATCACTAGCTCTTGGATGAGTTCAACTTTGGTGCGCATTGGTCCCTTGCCCTTTACAAAAAATGTGAAAGGATCAGAAGTTATTGGATGAGTTTGACTTTGGTACGCACCAGACCTTACATTCTAGAGCTATAGCCCCTGCTTTTTAAGCAAAATATGAAATATGTATGAATTTATTGACACCCCAGAGGAACTACAAATTGTTGTCCCATTCTGATGAAACTTAACAAATATGTTAAGGATAAAAATAATTTTGAATGAGAGGACGAGGCTATTGATTTTACCTCTTCCGCATACATTTCATGGAAAATGTGGGCGTATTTTGATTACTAAGGGACACAGGGAAAGAGTGTGAGAAAAGCTCTATCCCGTCGTTGTTTTTTACTTACCTAATCTGTCATAGATACAACGGAAGTGAGATGGGGTTGAAACAAAGATCGACTGTTCAGTTAACTAATCGTGTGACTCTCACGTCTATATGTTAAAATCAGACCTCGTTATATGTAATGGCATAATTACTTGCGTGCAATAACCTGAAGAAAGGAGAAGTTGCGGCCAAATTATTTGGGGGGGGGGGGGGAGGGTATAGTTGATATTTTGATTTTGTTTTCTTAATTAAATGTAAAATGAGCAATCTGAGTACATATTAGCTTGGATTAGGCCGTGAGAAATTTGAAATTATAGCGAAAAATGCAAATGGCACATCATGACTTAGCTCTTGACAATTTAACATTATTGATAACTGGTTTCTTGAAAAGTATAACCCATGGTCTTAAACCTGCAATAACATCTTCATCTAAAAACCGTCTAAGTGATCTCTACCTTTAAGTTCCAATGAGTTAGAAATAGAGAGTGACCTGGGGCCTTTTTCACGAAATTTTAACTAAGATTACATCCAAATTTGAGTAATTTGATTGGATAATATTAGATTGATTTTAGCCAATCAAAATTTAAGTATCTACTAAAATTGGATTTTATCTTTAGTTAAGATTTCGAGAAACAGGGCCCTGTACAATAACGGACTGGGCTAGTGAAGAGGGAAGATGCTAATTGTAGGCCGGTCGGGAAAGTTCGGGAATCTCCGGGACCATAATGGCCACTTTAAATATAAATGAGTATTTGGGGAATCTAATCCTAGCTCTCTTAAGAGGGGTATAAGGTAAACTGGATCCAAGATCGTCTTCTAAAAAATGTTAGGGTTAGGGTTAGTATTCCCCAAATTACTCATTTATATAAAGCGACCTTTGTGTAGAGTTGACAGTCATCCATAGCACAATATAAAAATAAAGATCCTAATCAGCCATTTCTTGATTTTGATATTTTATTTTTCCAGCGCGATTGGAATAAAATGGTTATGAAAGATGTTGTAGGTGAAACAATCTCACCCCATGGAACTTTGATAGATGATGATTATATTAACAGTGATTTCTATGCTCGAACAGCGTGTGTATATGTTTTATTTAATTGTTTTCATTAAATTTCCAAAATGTAAGAAATTGCTTTCATTATATTTTGAACATGCCAAAGATAAAGAATGAATATGGAACATACTAGGCCATACACTGCAGTTAAAATGGGCTCTATTTCAGTATCGCACCTCTACCAGTTCCCATGATCATAGAGACTTGAAATTTTCAGGGGGTATTCATGGGACCTAGCCATGACCTCACACCAAATTTCAGCCGAATCTGTCAATAACTTTTTATTTTACTGTAGTTTAGCTTATACGAGAGAAAGTTTATCCGATTTTGACGCCATTTTGTTTTTTGGCTATAGTGTATATAAAAAAAAGAAATTAGAAGTTCCTGACACAACCATTTTGAACCACGTTTAGCGTAATTGTCCTTCTCTTTCTATTTTTAAAAAAGATAAATATTTGTACTTTATCAAATTTAGTGAATATTTGTACAGAAACCATATTTGAAACTTGCGTAAACAGTGTCGACTGGTAAAAAAAAATGTCATACGGTCAGGCCGATTGGGGAGGAAATTTCCAATCGGAAAATTATCTATAGGGAATTCTGGGTTATAGCTGGGGTTACATGGTTCTACTACTGATGTTTTCAGTCTTGGATCGTTCTAAGGCATTCCTTTGAGCCAGTTGTTTAGTCATTTGTCTTGACTACAAAACAGTTACTGGCATATAACTTTACTGCACATAGCTTAACCTATAATAAACCAATTCCCATTGAAATAAAGGTGAAACATTATCGCATAATTATATGATTTGATAAAGCCCAACTGCTACGCGAAATTTCTGTCCATTTTAAAATGGCCGCGGAACCAAAATTAGAACACGGAAGTGATTTCACGTCTAAATGACAGAAAAACTATTGGTAATATAAGATTGCACTATTTGTAACATAATTACTTATTTCCATGCAATTATCACAATCTGTTTCGTTTTTTATAGTTCAAAATTTCGTTTTACTTGTCTTCACAACACTAGTATCTGGAAGAGTTGTTATATAACAGGCGTTCTTCTTGATGTGAGGAATTAGCCAATGAAACGGTCTGTTACCGCGAGTTCTTGGCGTGCTGTGCACATATCTGTGGGTAAACAACTAGAAACATCAACGCTGATTGATTAATCAATGTCAGACATCATATAGGGTCAAAAGCCATTCGTATGACCCCTGACGCGATCTCCCACTACAACTGGTCAGATCTCCATGTAGTAGAGGCCATCGAAAGTATAAAAACGAAACGAAATATCAATCTGTATTTTAATCTGAGTGCAATTATCACGGCTAAAAATATTGAAGCTAACCCCAAATCCCACCCCTGTGGAGGACTATTTATATGAGTCTCGAAAAGGCCCCAAAAGTCCAATATTTCAAATATTTCTTCAACTCCATTTTATGTTACTTTTTTGTTTCCAGGCCGCTCAGAAGAACACCGGGTAATCATAACCTGAGAACTATTGGGCCTGTAAGCCTGGATGATGGCGACACAGACGACGGTAAGTAAACATAATCTTGATTTTAATACAAATATGTAAAACTGGAAACATTTATAAAGAATGATCAGGAGCTTGTTTTAATTGAAACTGAAATGGGGTTTAACGTCCTACTTTTCTACTCCGACTAGGCTAATGAAGGCGGGCATATGCGACACAACGGCCTACTCTTAAATCGAATTCCAACTATGAATGGTGTGTAAATTTCACAACAATTATAATTACTGCCCTCAAAATTTATTCTTTTAATTTCATTCCAGATTATGAAGATGAAATGATCCTAAGTTCCGTTAGTATTTAATCTAAAGGAAAACATGGATCTACTCTAAACCCTTACGAATATGGCCTGTCCCAAAACAACTCTAAAAGAAATTTTAAAGAGTTTTTAATTATGAATTATTGTTTTGTTAGGATTTATTTGATTTAAGAATTTCCTTTCAGCTGTATCTTTGTATATTATACTTTTATTATTTTAATAATACATTTAAATGTTAACTGTATTTCAAACATAATATTAAAATGGAGAGCTTTGCTAGTTGCTTCAGTTGATCCGTTACCATAATTGAACCTCGGGGAACTGACTCAAATAACAGAAAATAAAGTTACAGTTGCCACTGACAGAGAGCGTGCTAACGTGGACATCAATTGATAATTGTGGTCTGCAGTCGTGCCACATGAAATGTACGGTATCCTGATATCTCTGAAACCGTTGACCAGATGTGGCTGAAACTTTGCCTACTCTGTTAATCTTATCATGATCTATAGGTTTCACATGAAATGTGTGATAACCCCATATCTCGGAAACTGCTAACCGGAAGTGGTCGATATTTGCCTATCCTGAGATATTATTAATGTTGTTATAATCTGTAACTTTCATGGACATCGGTTGATAACTGTGGTCTGCAGCCGTGTCACATGAAATGTGTGGTAAACGCTACTCTGAGATATTATTAATGGAAACATAATCTATATGTTTCAATGGAATCGGTTGAGTATTGCAGCCTTTCCACATGAAATATGTGATAACCTCATATCTCGGAAACTGCTAACCGGAAGAGGGCTAATTTTTGGCTACCCTGAGATATTATTAATATCATCATAATCGGTGAGTTTCTTTGAAATCGGTTGATTATTGCGGACTGTAGCCGTGCCACATGAAATGTGTGGTAACCCTATATCTCGGAAACTACGAAAAGGAAAGGACCGACATTTGGCTACTCAGAGATATTATCAATGTTATCATAATCTGTAAGTTTCATATAAATCGGGTAATAATTGCGATCTGCAGTTGTAAGGATATTTTGAAATTCTTGCTTACAACATGTTGCAAATAGCCACTACCATAATAAATACTGAATCCCAGGTACTGCGGTCAAAAATATCTCATATAAGCGCGTTGTTTGTTTTTTTTTAATAAAGTCGTATGCACCAAGCTGCTGTGAAACAGAGAAAGGGAGGATTGAGGAATATAAGGCAGCGTAACAAATAAAATATGAAATATACGGTATCTTTAAATCAGCAGAAATTATTCAATCGACATTAATTTTCTGGCTGCCAAAGATATACATCTGAACAAGTTCTTTCAATATTTACAATGAAATACGATTCCTGCAGTAAATTTTAAGAAGTCGTACGACGCAATGCAGAGACATTACCAGCAAACAAATCGTGAGACTTTATATGGCATTGGCAGCATCCATTCGTAAATAGCAGACAGATCAAAGTTTAGCCATTAAAAGTTCATAAACGTCGAGATATCACCGCTGGATATACATAACTAAATCGGTTTTTTTTCAGGGAGCCACGGCACCTGGCTCAGCGAGTAAAGCGTTGGCTCGGCTCAGTCTGGCGGTTAGGGTTTTAATCCCAGTGTTCATCGAGAAAGTCCCCCGGGTAGCGTACTTGTTATAATAAGAAGACGACGACCAATACTGACGGACGCGTTAAAATTTTGTAGATTGTCAAAAAAGGCTTTCCTTGAAATATGCCGAAAAATATAATGTTTTTGGTAGCAAATTATCCAGCGTTCGGTATCGTTGCATAGGTCATGCAATAGGTATCTCCCAGTTATAGTTCTGACTGGTTTACATTGTAAGTTACCTTAAAATAACCACTACAAAGGCCAGTGGAGGAGTCATTTCGGACTAATAGGTCCACAAACCATCTAAAGCAGTGATTCTCAACCAGTGTGCCTCAAGATCTTCCTAAGTGTGCTGCGAAATTTTGAACAGCGCACTAAGAAAATGCGAAAAACCACGTGATTCCAATTGTGTATTAATTGGTGTCTACTGGTAAGTTCATGGCTGTGTTTTTCTTTATTTAGTTGGAGTCATTCTATGTGTCTATGACTAGTCTGTGTTTACGGTTGTATGTCGTCTATGACTTGCCATGTTTTTATTTTGCAAAATTCAGATATTTTTCATATATATTTAGCCAGGTGTGCTGCTTTTTTTTTATGTGTTCCAAAGTGTGCCGTTGGTAAAAAGGGTTGAGAGCTACTGATCTATAGGTTTGGTGACGCTTCACCCTGTTCCAAATCTGGAGATAAAGCGTATTTCCGCTGGAGCCCACTTAAGATAAATACTGTATTTTTATATTTTATTCATTTCATATTTTATTAATATCAAAATTTACAAACACAATCACAGAAAATAATTTACAAGACATATATCATCATATCATCAGAATAAAAAAACTGTCTCACTTGTACACATTTTCTCTTTCTTTTACTAGTGCATTTATAACATATTTTCTCTCTCACTCAGAAATCACATAGGCTAACATTTACACACATGTATATATAAAATTAAGAAAACGACATTTATAACTCTTTTTTTTAAAATTTAACAAACGGTTTTATAAAAAATTAAATAGTTATACATGATTTATTCGACAAACAATTACACTGTATTAATAAATAAAAGAAAAATGGCGTTTATAATTAGTCTTCTTCTTACTTCATTCGACAAACACTCACACTCTCACTAATAATATTGATTAAAAGAAAAAACGCCTTATTATTTTGTCAATTTGTAAATACTAAGTTTAATGTCCTTATGTCACAATTCTTACAAACTTTAAAGAACCCATATATTCATGGGAAAAAAATCTCAAAATCAACTCTTTATGTACAGATATTTTGAAATTATAAAATAAATTAAGTTCTCTAAAAAAAAAATGAGGTAGATGAACTTGGTATTATGAAAATTGAAAGTCATCTAGGGTCATTTTAAAATTCACATTAATCTATACAAAACTCATGACATATACCTCTTTTTCAGAAAAAAAACAACAAATTCTATACATAAGTTCGTTTACACAATGCCCTATGCGTTGAAACATACCCAGTGATATACAATAATAAAAAAACAACAACATATAGTTTAAGACTTCCGTCCTAAAATCGATAATTTGTGTCTTCCTAATATACCCCATGCTTTGATCTTTGGTACATCTACCGCCAAATAAACTAGTACCACCGTACTATGGACAAGGTACTGACTATGACATCATCGTCGCCATCTTGGAAGTCCGCTATTCGATGTGCAATTGTCCAAGGCACAAGTATTCCAAGTTTGATATCGATGGTACATGAATTGGCTCAGCCTTAGACTTCTTTCGAAGTGCTTCGCCCCATGAAAATCAACCAGATGAGTAGCCGTTGGCGACTATTTCCTGCTCCAAAAATAAACTAACTAAACGAACGCTGACAAATAATTATAAAACATTGAAACATAGTTTCATTAAAACGAGACAAAAAGATCATAAGTGTCCATGATAATCACAGTTAGGAGAAATCCCTTCATATCTCAGCACCGGGTGGCCTCTCAATTAACCAATCATTACGCACTTCCGGCTGGAAAGCATCTGGTCCACAGAGAATGTAATTACTCTAGCACGATTGGCTGCATCACAATTAGCAGTATCTGTCTTCCATATAACACAATTAATACAGCGATTAATCAATTTCTACACTGTCACTTCTACTGATCTCTCTCTCAAGAATGTGTTGAATTCCATGATATACGTCACTAACATATTTGGATGGCATCGCAAGGTGTGGTTCGTCTGCAATGTCTCTATGTCCGTGATAAATAGGAACTTTGTGGGCATTCTGGTTGTCTGCTTCTACTTTGGATGGGTTGTAAACCCCCGTACCGACTAGCACACTATGGCACCGTTCGACGGTTTGTTCATGAAGATCCACATTGGATGGAATAAGTCTGGAAGTAGGTAAGGTGTTGACGGCGTCGTTGTCAGTGGAATTGCCGTTTTCGTGGTTGCTAAGAGATCGAATATATCTGTCGTACAGATTAGCACCCACGATATCAACATTTGGGTTATCACTGAAAATACAAATAAGAATTTATCAATAATTAAGCCCTTCATGAAAGAACATTACGAAACGTCCTAGAGAATTTAAACAGCGTTCGTCATCATTGGACCGGTCGGTTCAGAAAAGTAGGACGTTAAACCTCATTCAATTTCCTTCACTTTCCTTTAACTGCTGTTGTAATTTCCGTTGATTAAAAGTGCTAATTTTGGGTATCCGTCCACAATATTTTGTTTCCTAACACTATACTTTACCCAGGAGTAACCGAGATGTTCATTACACAGGCAATACCGCAAAATTTAAGCGTCCTACTCTGGGCTAATGAAGACGGGCATACAGTGTGCTATGAGGGAAACTTTGTCCGGACAACAGCACACTCTTATATCGACTGCCAAGAGATATTTTGCGTGCACGTCAGTGTATACACGGGACCTCAGTTTTTCGTCCCATCCAAACGAGTAGACAATGGTCCTTGTCAGGCCCTCCATCCTACACCACTAACAAGGGGACAGCAGAACGCAAAATCCCGACAAATACTGGGATCGAAACAGCGACCTCCAGGCTAGCGAGCCAGTGTCTTACTCACTGGATCACTGTGGCTCCCAAAATTCAACGGTGGCTAGCTGTTAGAGTTCCATATTTGTTTTTGGTTTTTTTCAAATAGCAAATTCTACTCACCCAATAAAATACAACTTCTTGATCTTTTTCTGTAGTCCCATCTGTTGAGCAATACGACTAATAGTGTGTTCAGCAAAACGATATGTTATTTCACAAGGTTTACCAATTAAAGCTGTATAGTGAATATCATGACCTGTTATTTTCTGAAAAATAAACGCAGAAATGTATAAATAATATTATTACCTTTATAAATATTAGTTATACAGTGAACCCGCGCTTAACGACCGACCAAGTATTACGGACCCCTCATGTATACGGCCATATTTAAATGAAACAATTCTTTTATTCGACATTTCTTACGCGTTGTGCTTGGTTATACCAGCAACTTACACGTTGTTCTCCGTAATACGGGCAACTTTCTATTACAGGTTACGACAGTTGAAGCAAGTATCATTCACTTGGTTGTTTTTCAAACAGGCGATAACGACCACGGATCAAAGCGATATCCAATCACTGTGGTCGTAGCAATTTAATGCACTGTTAATAAATAGACATACAATGTACTACAAATGTGAATGCCACTGGCTTATTAGGTATTTTGGTCGGTTTACCAAACATCCATAAGATAAATACAGCTATTGACAATCAGGCTATAGTTATTAGTATACAAGTATAATTATGTATATTATATTTACCCTATAGAGAGCTTCTAAACACAGTAAGAAGGCACCATGACCAAATCTGAAAATAAGCAGAATAAAAATGTAGATATTAAAAACACTATTCATGGAATAACTATGAAAAAAAACTATATTTAGCAAACACATCTAATATTTACTGTGCTCACGTAGAAAATGATATTGCCTGGAAAATTCAACAAAAATAAACCTAACTTTATACAACACATTTTTAGTTAATTAAAAAAAATTATTTCCCTTTGAATATAATATCTTTCTGAAATTGTTTATAATGCTCACCTTGGCATGCAAGCTTCAGCCATAAACTGGAGATCCATATTACAAGCAATAATAGGTAACTGGGGTACTTTATGAACGTCAGATGGAGCTGTGGTAGGCTTGCCTTCAGTCAGCAGTAAATCAATTAAAATCTGAAGATTGGACTCCCATCTCTGTGGTTCTCCAATCATTAAAACAGCTTCAACTCTTGGAAAGTTTGGGTTTTCGGTATAATGGCCCTTTGCCTGAAGAAAAGAAAGTGGACAGGATGTTTAACTTATGGAATTTAAACCCCTACAACGAATTTAGCCATGACCCAATTTTTGTATGGAATGTTTACTTCGATTTATCGTGTTCAAGAATAAACAAGTAGTGCTACACGTCCAAACAGAGAAATACAAAATGACACGGGGTTTTGCATCTTAATTTCCCGCCTACCCAAGAGTTCTTTACGAAAACGCCAACTAGTAGGATAGAAGCTTTCCCTTGCAAGGTCCTCCGCCCTGTACCCGCGCCACTTACAAACGGATACAACGGTGGACAATCTTGAGGAACGTTCTCTGCCAACACCTGGATCAAAATCAGGACCTCCGAGTTAGCGTGATACTCATTGAACCACAAGAGAAATATATAACTATACTTACAATAGCAACTCTGTTATCATGGTCAACCATATCTAACAATGGATAGGCTTTGGCTACTTCTTCAATAGTACATACGTTGGAGAAACCAAGACTGTTACATCGTCAAGGAATAATACCATATACATTTGTTTTAATTATCTTATTGAATTTAGACTTGATGCAAAAAATACGAACAAATAAATGTTACTTGCTGATCATAATCGGCCACACCAAGTCAAAAACCTTCTAACATTGTTTTTAAATACAAATTTTAAACTTTTTACTGGTTTTCGTAATTGTAAGAATAACAAACTCAGGTTTAAAGGATACTCTTCAGCAATTTCTGTACGATGTTCTTGACCAATAACCAACACGTGGCGATCGTGGTACTCTCTAAGTAACTTTGCGGGAGTTGGTGCATGAATGACGTTTTCTGGAGAGACCTGAAATACAATTCAAAAATGTTAACATAGCGAAATTGAAGTAGACGAAATTTACAACTTTCCCCTGTTGCGTTGTGTTGAGATATATTATGATTAAGTCTTACGCAGGCCAATATTTGTCATTTAGCCTGTGTATATGACTTTAAGTTCGCTAAATGTAGAATTTAGGCGAGTCATTTCTAAATGTATAAGTGGCAATTCTTAAAATTAGTATGATGACAAAAAAAGTGGGCTACTTACGGGCATATTAAACCATTTGCTAATCTGTGCTGCTTTATCATGGCTTCTGTTGGTAGCATTGGTAACGTAGGCGATCGGCACTCTCAAGTTTCCATCGCAATCCTTCAATCGTTCAATAGCTCTTACGGCGGGGTCGAGGGGCGTACTACCCCGGGCCAACACGCCATCCACATCAAATAGTATACCAAAATCGGGCTGTAAAATAGAAACACAAGAATTATCGTCTATTTTCTTTAAAAGTTATTTAATTTGTTATAAAAATAATACGCATGAAATTCTAACTACGTACGGTGTGGATAAAAGTTTCTTTGCAACAGTTCATTGTTGTTTAGTGTCTTCAAGTTCAATAAAATAAATGATGCCGTTCTTTTCACGCCGTGTCCAAACGGTGGGAAAATTATAGTCCATCGACCAATTATATTGCAGCTATCGACCACTAGCTGATCACGTGGGGTCTTTGTTGATACAATCAGCTGTTCAGCACGTGGAATCTGGAAGGTTGCTATGACCTACTATCGTCAGATCTGAGTCAATTTATGTGCCATCTAATTAATCAGACGCAGTAGCGTCTATTGACTGGTAGATTCTGTTATGACCCCTGTGAACTCCCAGTGTCAATAAGAACAAATGTCAGCGTTCGAGATTTCCGAAATCACTTTCTCAACAGCATAACTTTCTCCGCATGCTAACGACCAAAATGGCCATATTGCAATTTTGCACCAATTTTACATTGATTTTAGTTTTGTAAGCAGATTGCATTTCATTTGCACTTATTTTGTCTTAAGCAAATGGGTATAAAATGCAACTGATAAAAAAATAATCATAAATATATGATAAAAATGAAGAAACTTAAAAAATTATTTAAACTTACGTCATTTAGGACACTATCAAGATCCCCTGTTGATATGTCTGAATTATCTGAAAGAAATTAAGAGAACTTTAATAATAATAAACCAATACAACGCATAATCGGACCGATGTATGTCGATCGGTGACTGACTGTTAGCTACGAGAACGTCGTTAGAAACGTTGAGGTGAAGTCGGAGAGTCGGGACAAGTTGTATTTTTTTTATATATTAAATATAGGTAGTTGCATGGATTTATCACAATAAAAGACAATAAAAAAAAACAGATATAAAAAAAATAACAACAGACAAACAATTGTCAATTGTCAAGACAAACAATTGTCAATTGTCAAGACAAACAATTGTCAATTGCAGATTATTTCTGTTAATGTAGAAATCTTTGCATAGCCAATGACAATTCAAATCATAAAATATGCAATCGTGCAGAATGCTAATTAAATATTTATCACTATTTCGCAATATTCTGATAATATTCATTCATGCGAGTGCCTACCTGTTGAGTAACCATCATCCCTCGTGGGACTATCGTATTCTCTCATGATGTCAATGCACACAAATATTTCACAGTATAAAACAAAGTTTGACTTCCTTCCTCAAGTTTAAAATTTATTTCTAAGGAAGCGTCGAAATTTGTGTATTTTATAGCCAATAGGCATCCCTTTGTTTATCAGCAAAACAGACTAACACAAATTTCTGATTGGCTGACAAAGAGGTAGAGGGTCAAAGTTGAGCTTGCATACCACGTGATTTTGTTTTCATCCAAAATGAACTAACTCGGTTACATGGCCTTGATTAATTTTTAAATCGGTGAAGGGCTTCTTGGTACCTCAACAACCGATATGAAATGTTGCACCAGAGAAAAATGTAGAAAGATTTGCTGATGTGAAATAACGATAAGGCAATCAGTGATGACATACATTACACCAGACGGCTAATAATACATGTGTACGCACACTTTGTTTAAGAACAGTGGGCAACACGAGTGTATGTATTCCGCCTATCAATAATATTATTTATATATACACAAATTAGAATAATACAAAAATGTAATGGTTTATTACCCAACTGAACAGACAATACGTGAGAAATGAAATGAAATGGGGTTTAACGTCCTACTGTTCTGCTCCTAAACTGGGTTAATGAAGACGGGCATACGCCATACAGTGTGCTATGAGGGAAATTTTGCCCGGGCAGCGGCACTATCGCCTACTCTTATATCGAATTCCAAATGCCAAGGGATCTTTTACGTGCATTCCAATGTATACACGGGACCTCGGTTTTCCGTATCATCCGAAGGACTAGACAGCTGTCCTATCAGGCCCTCCGTCCTGCATCACTGACAAGGGGGAACCACGCCGGGAAATCTGGCTGAACTTTCTCGGCCAATGCAGGGATCGAACACCCGACCTCCAGGCTAGCGAGCCAGCGTCTTACCCACTTAGCCACGCGATCCCCAGAAAATACGTGAGTATGGTAAGGGAAATGCACAAAACGGGCTAATGAAGACTGACATACACCATGCAGTGTGCTATTTGGGACATTTTGCCCAAACAGCAACTGAATTCCAATTGCCTCAGTTTTTAATATTATTCCAACGACAAGACTGTTCCTTATCTGTGTCTGTCCTGCACGATTGACAAAGGGAAATAACGCAGAAAAAAATGCTAGGAACTTTCTTAGCCAACACTGGGATCGAATCTTTGACCTCCACATTAGCGAGCTAGCCCATACCCACTGAGCAACTGTGGCGCCCACCAGTCGCTGGTCTCTTGCATGGCATTGCCTGCACAGCAGCGTTTCTTACTACCACAGACACTCCGCCCCACACCTTGGACAAGAGGAGACCACGCTGTTCATTTGATTACAATGAAGAACTCTGTCGGTTTTCAAAATTATCGGATAGTACCAGTCGAAACCTTTTCCAATTAATATTCACGGTATGTTGTTGAGGTATCCTACTTGGCCAGATTGTTCATTTGAGCATAAAAAAGGGGAAGTTCAAAATTTACAATCGTAAAATCCGAATGTTATTTCGCGGAGTTATTTACCCGTTTACTACTTTTACTTTTAAAGAGCAGTACAGAATTAAAAGATGGTTGAAAGCTTGCTTGGTGGGATTTGTTGATTGTGATTTTAAATTTAGTATGGACGACCTTGCTGCTGATGAGCGTGTAAGGAAATCAAATGAACTTGGATTTAACGCCCTTCTTCTCCGACTGGGCACTTCAAGACAGCCATTCCCCATGCAGTCTCGATACGGCTCACCTTTAAATCTTATATCAAATTCCAACTGCCAACGGATCTTTTTCGTGCACGTCGGTTTTTCGTTCCATACGAACCACTATATGTTGTCCCTGCCAGGCCCCCTGTTCTGCACTACTTTCAAGGGGGATTCAAGCCTGAAAATCTGGATGAACCAACGCAGGGATCGAACACTAAACCTCCAAATTTGCGAATCAACTTCTTACCCACTAAGCCATATTTTTAGGGAATTACTGCCCTGACCAGTTGCGTCTATGTATAACCGTAGCTCAGCCACCAACATTATTAGAATAAATTATAGAAAAGAAATTGTGTCATAGCCTGGTTATATACTTTCCCATTTGTCTGGTACTATTGTTCTATATATAGTCACCTATTTACCATAGATAAGTTTTAGTGCAAACAAGTTGAGACCATTGGAAATATGGGGCTAGCACTTAAACAGACAGATATGCTTTTAACTATTTCATTTGGTTTCAGTCTTTTTTAACGCTAAAGATCTTTTAAAATCGTTGGTTGTTGAGGGTTTGTATCTTTTGCAAATGTCCTTAGATACGGATTATGTAAAATTCCGTTCTTGCCCTTCTCCACTAAAGACAAAATGTGGCAACTATTGGTTTATGTGAAATTGTCCATTAAAGCTAAAGTTCCTGTCCAATTTGCACACCTGTATATTAGCAACGTCCAGGCATGATTCGCAAATCCCGACATATTAGGACTGTTCCATGCCAATATAGACAGAAGTTTATACATACAGGACTTTAGTTTGCCCGTACCCAAAATGACACATCTGTATGTGATACTTCCTCTACAACTTCATGGCCTGATAATCTCGATATAAGGTCTTGAGCTAATGGACATCCCTTGATTAATTTCCGGCGTATTTGAATATTGTCTAGTGCGGGCTTTGGACAATTGAAGTTCAAGTTTGAGTTACTGGCAGCTAGGATCACCAAGTCTATAACTACCTTGAGGGCCCAAGACTGCCCAACCGGGTTCTTTTGTTGTATGAGGATGGAGATCAATAAAACTTTGTCCCATAATTGCATACAGGTATTTTAATAGTCTACATCATATAGGACGGCCGAGTGCAGTAGTTTCATTCATTTTGATCTAAAAGAAATCGTGCAATAACAGAAAGTATGGTTGCATCGGAACAAATTAGTGTTTTGTACTCGATGGTAGGCTACATTTTACCTTGAGTTTAACCACCAAGTAATATTTTAAAGCGGCTTACTGATTAGCATATATGAATTTGTCTGCAACCTACAAAAGATTTGAAATGACCTTACTCAGCAAATCGCGAATCTGTTCTATCTCTATATTGTGTTTACATATCTATAAATAGATTTACTTTTGTCTTGGAATTCACGGGGCACGCCATGTGAGGATTAATTTGGTGAACGAGAAATTTAAACGTAACCGTGTTACGTATTCTGAAGGTATACTCTAACTTTATAGAATGCAGTAAGGCGGTCAAGATCATCAGTACTGAAGCACGTTTTCTAGACGTGGACGTCGAACGACAACATACTTTTATGCCAAAACATCATAATTATGCAGCCTTTGCAAAAAAATACCAAATAATTGGCATTGGGAGACAAAATCTTTATGTTGGCAATTAAATGTTTGTTAGACTTCGCATGGTGAATCATAGTTTTATCCAAAGCAGCGCACAAAAAGCTCTCGTTTATTTGTGAAAACTATGCACAACAATACAATTGGACCCTAGTATTTTTTCCATTTAATCAAATGCATTGCTCGTGGCTGGGCATAACCAGTTTATTAATATTTACTTGAAATTGAATCATGTGGTATGTCACTAAAACAGAAATAATACGACACTGTTGCAGAGCAAGCTTTATCTTCGTAGGTCATGCACCAAAGATGGAGCTGCATTTTTATTTACAGGTGCAAACTATAATAACAAAATATATCTTAATATGATCTAATTGTATGACCTTGCTTTTGGATCTGGATATAAAAATAGATAGCAATATCAATAACTGTATTCCGGAAACACTCTTGATAAGTGGCGGGTGCGGTCGATAACCCAAACGGCATTACACTATAATAATAGCATTAGTGCAGTCATTGGTTTCTCCGACATTACTTATCCAATCATTTCACAACAGAAATTATTAATATGTCACGAAATGTCATTTGCATTTATTCAACGTTGAGAGAATACTCTTCGAAACGTCGCCCAAATAAATCAGTAATTGTTCTTCCATAAGTATGTGTTATAGTTTATAAATGTATTTATTGCTCTATTTTTTTTCTAAAAAGATAGATATCCTATTCAAAAAAAGTAGGGGATATTTGATTTTTAAGTGTTATTAAAGTCACCTAATGAAACTGACGAAGAAACAAATGACAAAATGAAATGAAGTTCACATTCATCGATTTATTCCAAATGATCGTTAGACTAAGTAAGGCACAGACTGACCATTATAAGGGTAAAATGATACCCGGGATCAAACAGCAAAGTTACCACAGCATCACAACCAAGTCAGTAACGGGTAAATCCTCCTCTGTTTGCCAAACAAGCATTGATCCGACGTGACATACTCCTAATGAGACGTCTAAGGTCATTTTGGTCCAGATTGTCCCATTCCTGTTGCAACGCAGCAGCAAGTTCTTGGACATTGGCAGGACGTTGTTGACGATGACGTAACCTCTGTCCAAGGTAATGTGGTGATGTTCTGTTGTTGGAGGTAACCTGTAACGATCCTGGCCCTGTGACATCTTGCGTTGTCATCCTGGAAGATGAAACGGCGGCCATGACGTCGTGCGAACGGCACAACATGGACTGCCAAGATGTTGTCCCGGTAGTACTGGCCTGTAACACGCCCTGCAACAACATGTAAAGCCGTTCTTCCAGCAACAGTGATGCCTCCCCACACCATAACAGAACCACCCCCAAATCGATCATGTCTGATGACGTTAACGTCTTGGAAGCGCTCGTTTCGACGACGCCACACCCTCCTACGTCTGTCCAAAAAATCAACAGTGAACCTTGACTCATCTGAAAACATCACATTGCTCCAGCGTCGATTATCTCAGTGTTGACGATCCCTACACCAACGGCGTCTTGCCTGAATGTGATGATCTCTCAAACAAGGGATCACGCGAGGACGTCGGGCGCGAAGGTGACCCCTATGCAGTCGATTCCGAATCGTCTGGCCACTCACTCTCACACCAGTGTCTGTTTGAAGACGAGCGCTGATCTGATTTGCTGTGATGACACGATTTCTCAAGGCCAAGGTACGGATAAATCGATCCTGGGCTTGAGTTGTCGCCCTTGGTCGACCTGAGCGTGGTCTGTCCTGTACAGATTGTGTATCACGGTATCTGGACCATAGCCTGCTTATGACAGACTGAGAAAC